TCTGACCAGTGGGGCTGGTATACTTCTTTATCCAGTGAATTTGATTTAATGCATGAATCTAATGATGCTGGTAGAATACACAGTACTAATATGATGCATAAACCAACTGATCTTGTAATACTGATAGTTGATTTCACCAGGGAAAAACAATTAATCCTTGTTCATCAGAAGTACACCAATCATATGGAATAGGAATTATGTAATTTCGATACCTAAGATATGGTAAATTTTCTTTAATGAAATATACTACTGATTGGCTGTTATGAGTAGTTCGATAACACTCACATCAATCGGTAATCTGAACACCGGACAATCATTTCTCTCATATAAGACAGAGCTCTTCATCCATGGACCCGGTTTAACTCAACTTAGAGAACCAAATTAATTCAAAATATCCGAATTCTGGCTATCTAATCTAGTGAGTTGATAATACATTGTATAAATTTAGAAATTTGTGAATTAATTCATGATGTTAAATTTATACATTTCGAGGTGAAATTTCATCAGAGTCTTCTCTGGAAGATTAGATTATTCAGACTACAAAATGTGATCTGCTTGTTACAATTAATGATAATCAAGTCAGCAAACCTAGACGCATCGAGCTGTAGACATCACTGATCCCATCAGCCCCAACAGAGCGAAAGAGCCTTCTGGTATTTAAATCGCTTCACTCTGGTTAAGAAATACTACTGGTTAATGTGCATGGTATTCAACTAATCACATCAGGCTTTTTATAGTATTTTGATGTGTTTGTGTTCTCTGAGCTGGCTGGATAGTTAACTTGCAAAGCTTTCATCGCCCTACCAGGCGACATCTTCAGCGCATACTTCAATTTGCTGAAGTGAGCTTTTAGATTTCTCTACGAGTTTATTAATCATCTCTCTAGGTGAATGACCTTGGACGTGGTTGGTTGTTTTTGTGTGTTTTCACAGTTTTTATGTTACTTGTATTGGAACTGATTGTTTCTTTGACTTGCCAAGCCTGGTATTCCAGTGTATCATCAGTCAATAGACACATAGAGATAGACAAAATTTATCAACCAATAAGAAAGAAACTTCACACACACACACACACAAAGGGTCAAAGTTCAAGTCAAAGAAACAATCAGTTCCAATACAAGTAGCTGCCTAGAAGGTGTGAAAACACACATAAACAACCAATCACGTCCGAGGTCACCAGGAGAGATGATTAATAAACTCGTGGGGAAATCCAAAAGCTCACTTCAGCAAATTGAAGTATGCGCTGAAGATGTCACCCAGTAGGGTGATGAAAGGTTCGCCAATTAGCTATCCAGCTCAGAGAGCACAACCACATCAAAATCATCCACCTGAACTACAAATTTTCTCTATCATTTCTATAATATATAATATCAAATATCACTTTTCATATCTTTAGTATGAGTGTTGTGCCATCAAAGTTTCGTTTGGCAACAGAAATATTTTAGATTACAGTATATTACCAGCTTGATAACATAAATGAAAGAAAGCAAGTATAAAGGCACAGAGCCACATGCTACTGATCGGTCATGGAGTTAAACTAAAGCTTGGCAGATTGTAAATCATGCCAAATGTTATTACCAGTAAATTCATACAATAAGAGTGTTAGTGAAACTATACGGAAAAAGTTTAAAAGTGATGTGAGCGCGTTGATATGATCACAAAGAATAAATTTCACTTGAAATCTTATCAACAAATGAATTATAGTGAATTATGGTGTGCTATAATAGACCCAGAGAAATCAAAGGACTTGGTGACACCGCTACTGGAGAAGGTGTGGAAAGAGGGTAAGGTACCTTCGGATTGGAAGAAAGACTGCCTGTTCAAACTGCCAAAGAAAGGAAAATTAAATCATTGGAAGAACTGGTGCGGCATTGTTATCCTGTTCATCCCAAGCCAAATAGTAAGCGTCATCATCCTGGAAAGAATTAAACACGCCGCTCTGGATGAAAAACTTCTACCAGAACAGGCTAGATTCCGGAGGAACAAGTCATGCATCGATCAAACCGCAACACTACTTATCATCATTGAAAGGAATTGGAGTGACAGCCACCTCGCTACCTCAACTTTATCGACTTTGAAAAAGCCTTCAACAGTGTTGATCGAGAGGTGATTTGGCAACTACTTTGCTATTATGGGGTATCTCCAGCAATTAAATATCTCATCCAACAGTTGTATGACAATGCTGCATGCCAAGTAATCCACAACGGAAAACTCACGGAATCCTTCGAAGTAAAGACGGGTGTAGGACAAGCTGGCTGCCTGCTATCTCCAATGATTTTCCTGATAGCGGTAGACTTGATAATGCGACAGACATAGAGCGAGCAGCAAGGAAACAGGCATAAAATGGCCCCACACAAAATACTTGGAGGATCTACACTTCGCCGATGATGACATATGTCTGATTTCCCACAAACTAGAAGACATACAAGTGAAAAGCATCAAGTTTTCAGAAGAAGCATCAAAGATAGGAAGGACTTCAGGTCAACATAGAGAAAACAGATGTGATAATGATGTGGTGGTCAAACTAAAACCCTGTAAATCGTCTTTTTGTTGCCTTCCGAGCGTATTGTGACAATGGATTTCTCAAGGAAGTCTTGGACAGATATTGAATAGGACAGAAGGATCTGTTCTCTGCATTTAGATCACTACGAGTAGGTTTTCGTTTCTGCGCAAAAAGAGAGGGATAAGATGATTGAATTTCACATCCAAGCTTTTCATCATTCCTACGGGTGAAAACGCTTCACTGAATAAAAGACTGAATCGAATATTTTGAAAATAAGACTGACATCTGTTATTAAATCAGACTGAGAGTATATAGCAAGAGATCGGTGACCTTACAGACAATTCAAACTGTAGTATCTGTACACAGAAGACAAACAGACAGGAGTGTTAGAGATGTGTGTTAATGACACTGTAGAATAAATTAAAGTATCATAAAACACTACACAATTATCGAAATATTTGGACCACAGTAATCGAGACCAGGTCATGGAAAGTGTCGAAGATATTAACAAAATGTCATTTGAAAACATAGCAACAACTGACTATAAAAAATTGTCAGTAATAAGACTTTCAAAAGTCAACTCATTGTTTTAAACAAATTTATCATATTTCTAAGTTTTGTTTAGAAGAACTTGACAATATATCTTTTAAAAAAAATCAATTTATTCAGTTTGTACGTTCTACTCTAATTAACTAGTTCGACAGTAATTTTCTTTTAACCGTCTTGTAGATTGACTGAACGAAAATTATTATAAACAGGTAGTACCATAAAACTTTCAACTGTCTCTTACCACGAGAAGTTTGCTCCATAGCTGTTACGCCTTATATTCATTCATATGTGCTATCTTACGCACAGTTCTAGTAACCCTACTTATTTTCTAGAACAAAGTGAAAAGTTTGTGTTGATTGATGGAGATGAGTAGCAGTGGGATTCAAGATGTATGTCTCGTCTTGTTTAGGACTCATCATCTAGACACATTTGCATCCTCAGTGAGTTTTGGCCTTCCCACCAAGGCCTGAACCCTGTACTCACCGTTTCAAATGCTAAAGAATTGTCCACACTAGGCTGCCGAAATGCTCGGTCTCTGCAATATATCAAAAGAGACTGAGAGTTTCTACTCAACGAAATAAATCAAATGGAATTGCAAATCACCTGAAATAATGTTGCTTATCTAGGGATAACTGACAATGAAATCAAAGATGCCTGTTTAGGACTCTCCTCAAGGAAACTCCTACTGAAACCCAAGCTCACAATTCAATACTAGAATCATTAAATTATGAGAATGGGTATTTAAAAGAACGATTACTAGATGGGAATCTCAGGAGAAATACGAACTAATGTCAGCTCATGATGAAATCCTCCAACCAATCAAACAAAAATAAGAAAATACTATTGTGGTGAGAGCAGACTGCTAGCCAAATTGGTAGGCACTAATTTACGTCAATGTTTATGTCCTAAATATTGGTCGTGAGAAAAATGAGAACAAAGACTGATTCAACAAACAACCACAGCAGACTTTGCGTAGGAGGATACAGTTAACGTATAGATGATCTGACATTCAAGAGACAGTCACAAAGAGATACAAGGTTAACTTTCTGTGAGAAGCAACCAATCAGAAGACTGTGTTTTTCTGCTAACAATAACCTATATTATATACATGAAAATCTATAAATACGTGTTGATTTCCTTAGTAAACGATCTGCTGCCTGGCTCTTGTCTTCTGTTGTTGCACTATCACTCTAGAGAAATATAAGTACATCAATTCTGTGAGCTTGACATAGACATAAAAGTTAGAAGGGAGGGGTAACTGCACCCAGGTTTAGTGGCTGAATGGTGTATGGGCTCGTTTGGTACCCTGAAAGTTCTAGTTTCAGTCTCTGTCGAGGTTATAGATGTGTACTGCCGAGGTGTTCCAAACAAGGATAAAGTATCTTTTCAGCAAAACCCTGGTTTTCAATGTTTTACCATATTAAATCAGTTTGAGATGGATGTTGAAATCAGCTAAATCCATGAAAAGCAAAATTTGAATATAAAAAAGCCACATGTCAAATTCTACTACCAGCCATCATCATCAACATTATTATCATTGTTAAGCAAATAATAAAGATTACTCAAGTATTGGTTTGTAGGGATTTGATTGATTGGTTTAAGGATTTAATCATGAGTTGAGACCGGTTAGAGAACCAGTGGGGAGTACTGGACAGCTGTTTCGTCCTAGTTTGAGAAGTCCTTCATCAGTACGCATCCACCACAACTGGGTTCCAACCCAGGACCTTCTGGTTACAAGGCGAGCTAGCTCGTAGACCACTAAGCCACTGGGACCCGATCCAATGGCCAGCCCATGAATTCTAACTTTTAAGCAATGTCAGCTCATGGTGAAATCCTGTAACCAATAAAAATTACATTAATGAATGCAAATCACATTACCAATAAAAATGGAAAGTAATTTAATTAATTTATAATTACCATTAAATTAAAAAAAAATAACATATACTTACATAAAGTGTTGTAGAGTATAAAGAATTAATACAAGTTTGTATATTTGTAAAGTCTTGACAACACTGAAAATGGCTTTCTTTCATGACACTGTGTGAACTTTTGTCAAGATTATTTACCAAAATGGATTCAATCTTCAAAACAAAAGAAATAAAAATATACGTTTATTAAAAAAAAAGGTGAAGATAAAGATAATTGAGTTAGTTCTCAGTTGGGTTTTTTTTTCTAAATAAGTAAGATTACGATAAGAAGAGATCTCTTTGATGACTCATATGACCTTAGCTTCATAAAGAAATCCAAGGAGCTCATGTGTGTGTGTGTTCTCCAGTGTTCTGTCAGGCTTTTGAAAGCAAAGTCAAAAAATGCTTGTATTGTAGATTGTTTCACAAATCATCAGTATCAGATGTATTTCTGGAATATCCTATGAAGGAGTCAGTTATATACACTCATATCATCAAACTTTGAAGCATCATCCTTTGAATCTGATTGACGATCTACTGTCACGTGTACTTACACTGCAACAGAATATCAACTAAATGTGCTGTGTGCTTAATGTTTTATCGAATGTGTGTGATCAGATTGTTCGAAATGTGTTGCGCAAATATAACACAACACGATTCAGACAAATTACATTTTCTTATTGCGATCTGACATCATTTTTCGCATGTTCGAAGGGCTAAGATAGATATATTGGCTTTACATTCTCTATTATTATTTTGACATTAGCTGCATAAAAGGTCCTGTTTAACAGCAGCGTTCAGTCTTTGTTTAGTTATCAAGCTGCTTTGATGCCCCATATAGGGTAGCTTGATGTACACGTCTTTCTTAGGAGCGAGTTGGAGAGTGGGTCTTGGTCTTCCATTGACTACTTTATATCTCCTGATGAACTAGTCTGGATAATTGTTATCAACCACAGTTTGTGTCAACTTTTTTTCTTCCTCATCAAGCGTGTCTTCAGTGCATATTCGTTGGATTCTACTGAAGGCTCTACTAAGGCTCTTTTGTACCGACCAGGGCAGAAACTGTGGTAACAAAGATATTGTCCTGTCCAGGTAGGTTTTCTATAAATAGATCTTTTTATTGACCCATCAAGCCGTCGACTAAGGAATATGTCTAGGAAAGATAAACAATTATCTTCCTTTATGCGCTCAAAAACAATTCGTCATCACATTAAACCTTCGTTGGTAAATTTTATTTTGATACCATAGCAGATGTACTATTTATTACCTCTGCTATTTTGGTTTAGTGGTCTTCATTGTTATTTTGACCTTGAATATGTCCTTTTAACTTGACCTAAGCCTATTTAATTTTCTCACCTCTTACCCCTTTATTAATTTCATGTATATTCGCATGACAAGTCAGTGTGTGATCAGATTGTTCGAAATGTGTTGCGCAAATATAACACAACACGATTCAGACAAATTACGTCTTCTTATTGCTTTATCTAAAAAGAGATCTCTTTTTGCTGATTCATGTGTTCCCAGTTATAGGTAATAGGAATTTTTCAAAGCCTAAAAAACTTTTCATGACTAGAAACCAGACCAAACCAGATACCATAGATTTAATGATTTCTAGTGAACTATCGGTTATTTTATCGTGAAATATTTTGTCTCTTCTGAAATTTATTCCTATAGTGACGTAATCCACACGCTTCATTGCTGTTGAGAATTATATCCTATGTAAAAACATGACTACCTTAAGCTCTACAGTTTATTCAACACTCAAGATTACAATTCATTTTATAAATGTAGGCGTCTATACAAATGAAGTACACTTTTGTACTAATATGACTTTTGAAACTTAGATTTCATTTAATTAGACAAAATCAGGCTTCGAATTTTCATCGAAAATGCCCACTTAGTTCCACACTAAAGAATAGATAGTCTGGCAGTTGAGAAGAACAAGTAACAAGGAAATCTGGAAACCGATGAACTAAGGGCCTGTTGATCCAACAAATATGTAGGATGAATCGGACACATCCTGAGGAGGTCATTGAGTGACACCATGAACTAGGTCGTCAAGTGGCACACAAAGGGATAACGATGAGATGAGAGTGAGACTGAATGTTACGGGATTGAGACCGTATGAGAAGAAACTGAAAGTTTGTCGGCACTTGAGGAGCCAGCTGAAAAAGACTCAACGGAACAGAGTGAAGCGGCTATGTGTTTCTAAAGCCCTGTGTTCCACTCGGAAGTTAAGGGAATAATAGTAATAATAGCAGTAATAATAATAATAGTAAAATATCATCATGAAGGAGTTTGACGCGTAAAATTCTGAATTGTCAACCAATTTTGACTTAGGAATCATATGTTCTTATAACTCCCAACCAAAACTGGTGGGGAGGGGTGGGGGGTGATTTACAGTTCCAAAACAAGTGAAGCTTTTGGTAAGAATATTAATAAGGACGTTGAGTTTTACCACTGAAAGGTATACAAGAGTCAAAAGTGAAAATAAATTAACAGGTGAAGAAATAATGTTAGCAGATGTTATTTTTTGATGCATTTGAAAGTGCAACTATATATCTTCCAGTTACTGGGTTACGGGTTCGAACTCTATTCAACTTAGTGTTTGTGAATCGCTAGGTTGCCCTGACAGCTTTCAGCACAATACATGTAACTAATTTTCAGGTACATTGTGATGCATATTGTTACTATGTATTTGCTATCTAACTTCGGAACTGCCTACATTGTGTAGAAAGTGGACAAAAACAGTTCTACACTAAACCCATTGTTATGTTGCTGCTGCTGAGTGGTTAATAGTAGTTTTCTCCGTCGCCAAATTGTTATGTACTCGTCGCTAAATTATTGTTATGGACTGGTCGAGAAACTAATAGTCCTGACGCAAGAAAGCGGAAATCAGAAGACCACTAGGTTTGCGATGATACTTCTATTTTTCCAAACACAAGGAGAATGCAAAAGTGGTATCACACCAAAGTAAGTAAGTCACACAAATTGTGAGAACGAAATATATATATCAAGGTTTTGAACAATCATTAGACAGTCTTAACATGAATGGCTAATTATAATGAAGTATCGATCCATATATACATAGCGAAATATAGCAGACATGTCAACAACCACCATATATGGATATATATCACCAAGCAACGGACTGTCAACATACATTGTTAAAGGAGACAGGTTCATACAAGTGAAATGGTCACAGACTAAGAGAGCAAACAGAAAGAGAGACCAACATACACACACACATAAATATATATGTGTGGATACATATCACCCATCTAACATGAATACTGTCATGGGACACTACTCTAAGCCTACTATGCAGTTTAAAATGTTAAAAATTTTTCAAAACATTCCTCTTCAATAACTGCTTTCAGAGAGTAGTCTCTCTGATTTATCACTGCCGTGTATAACATTAAGATACCCTTTTGTCGTTATGCTCCAATGTGTTAGTATGGCGTTATTTAAGTAACCGTAATAAAGTATTCATCTGATTATTATATCTTTAAAACGATAGCAAAGTCCCACTCTCGTACATATCAGTTATTCAAGATGTGTACAGCACAGTACTAATCAGTATTCTCAACTTAATAAACATAGTTGTTTCCCAAATTTCATAAACACTTTAAAACTAGACGCAAAAACGGTTTTATTCCAGAGCACTGACACTTTCTGCAGCAGCCTTGAATTTAATTGTGTTTGATACTAATTTGCAAATCTGTGTAAGTGTAAGTGTGGATAATTTAGTTACATTAACCTATTTAGAAAGTGCGTTGGTGGCATAGAGGTTAGGACGCTCGCCGACTATGCACATGGTCCAGGATTCGATCCCCTGCCACCGACGCACTCCTCTACCTCACTAAGCCAGGAATAATGCCGGTAAGGAGGAAAGGTTGGGCACGAGGCTAGCAACCTCATTCTGTAAAAATAAACATTGGTACAGAAACCTCAAGCCACTAGCTTGAAGCCCTGTGTTCCACTGGGGAACGTGAAGGAAAAAAAACCTATTCAGATGCAGAATGCAACTATTACACGCTGAAGAATGACCAAAAGTCAAACAAGTACTTCAGTATTCATATTGGTTCTGTACATATCCACAATAGTTATATTATACCTAATGTCTTATATTTTTGGACAACTTCCAGTGTCAGATGTGAGGTTTGTAGGGATTTGATTTGTTTCAAGTTGAATTACGGATTAATATCAGTTACAGAACCATTGAAAACCAGGGTTTATTCTACATCTATTTCGTCCCAGTTTAAGGCTTATCAGAAGTTCTCACCAATTGGGTTTCGAACCTAGGATCTTCCGGTTAAAAAGCAAGCTCTTAGACTCTGCAGCCGGTGGGACTTGACTCAGTGGCCAGCACGTGAGTTGTAGCTGCTACTGAGTGGTGACTTTAGTATGACCACTGGCCAATGTCATTGGTGGTGAGTATTTGCCCCCACTCCTGACTGAGTGGACCCTCGCCTGCTCATGTCTTCTCAGTAGAACTTCATCAGTAATACCAGTGAGCACTGCTAACGAGTCCTAGACTAGGACGAAATATCTGGCTGCTTCCTGGTTTTCAGTTGTTTTTTCTAACTGATATCAGTCCATTGTCAAACTTGAAACAGATCCTATGCAGACTGCAAGATGCTGTATGGAGCTGAAAAATATCAGGGATTTGCATCTGACTGTCAAAATGCTAGTCCCGGAATAGGAAGAATTGATGAGTCTTTATTTTGTGCTTAGTTGTGTCGTAACAGGTTTTTTTTGATATTCCGTTCCCTGAAATTATTTCAATAAAAGCTTTTTGCTTTTAGAACAGAACCGAAATATACGAAAATAACAACAACGATAGAAACAAGAACAACGAACATAAGAGCATAGTCGTATTACTTTTATGCCTTCTTTTAAATACTTTTCAAGTTGATCTTGAAACTTTTGAAATCGACGTATACACTTATTACTTGGATGCTTATTGTTTTCATTCCTACATAAATAAACAAGAAGTAAACTAAGGAGGTCAAATGGATAATGCCTTGAATGTCATGAAGTATAATTTAATCAAATGACACAATTTTTTATTATTACTATTATTCCCTTGCGTTTCAAGTGAAACATAATACTTCAGCAACACATTTCCACTTTGTTCTGTTTTCTGCCTTCCTCTTCAACTGGTTTCACAATTTATCCAATTCTCTCATCTCTTCTTCACACGATCTCCTCCATGTCACCCTTACATCGACCACGCACTCGTCGCTTCCCATTTGGATTCCACTAGAGGTTATGCCTGGAGTGCGATATCATTCAACAGGCTCCTCAATATGTTCTAAATCCATCTCCATTTTCTTCTACATATTTGTTGAGTGATCGGCTCTTGGTTGTTTTATTCCCAGCCAGAGTATTTTGTTGCTTATTCTTTCTGGCAATTTAATCTTCAGCACGGAGCCAGCAAAGGCAGCTGTTACTAAAAGTCTGCAAACTGTTGAAAATCTTTTTCGTGTCACGCCAACTTTCTGAACCGTATGTCTATTGTACTTAACTAAGAGTAATATTCATGTTCGAGAGTAGAATAGTTATGATGCTAACTCTGCTTATCTGAATACAAGACAAAAGGTTTTACACTTATGCTGATTTAACACGGACACCTTCTGAGACAGTATGGGTAGATGAAAATAATACATAAACAGAATTAAAAAACATTTATTTCCCCATAAGAATTTAAAACAACCAACAAAGGTTAATAGATGTGGTTCTGATAAATTTATCAGAGTCCGGTAGAACTCGTAAGCTGAATACTCTGCATACGGAGATACATATATATTTTTGAAATTACATTACGAGATATAAGACTACTGATAAGTAAACAAACTACATTGAATTAGTCATGCAGAAAAACAGTTGCGAATGTTTTCCAGATTATGTTCAAATAGATAAGGGGAGAAGCAGTATGAGGGATTAAAATTAGGATAAAATGCATTACGCTTCAATGACATCACTTAGATAAACAATTAGTCATTAGAATACATAACAAGAATTACAAACAGAGTAATACCAACAGCAATAACTATGATAATAATAACACTGCTTAAGTGAGTTAAGATAATCCTACTGATAAACGATAGTTTTAAATGAATCAAGAATAATAATGAAGTAGAATAAAGTATTGTTAACATTATTAATAGCAGTTAATAAGTAAAATGTATTACCAAGGTGGATGCAGAGTAATGACCATTTCATTTTGAATACAGAGACCTGGTTTATGAAACCAAATTGCACAAGCCTCTGCGATCGCAAGCATCTTCTTGTTCCTTTGTCTGCTCTCCGACAATAGTGAATGACTTGACCGCGTTGATATCATGTCCACCGTAGTCCACAAGATGTTTTGTTTTTGAGAATTTTGGCACTTTGCACTCATTTGTTTTCAACCGTCTTGGCAAATGCTCCATCATGAGAGTAGACAGTCGCCTTTCTGTAGGACCTGTGTATTTGCTTCCACAACCACACTCAAATTGATATACGCACTTTGAAGTGTCGAGGATTGGCGACTAGTCTTTCCCAGATTGTTGAAGCACTCGCTTGGTGGTGGTGATGTTAAGGATAACAAGTTTTGCAGCATAATAAGTTCTCTTGATGGCTTTATCGAGTCTTCATTCGGCTACTTCCTGTACATAATCTCCTTTGAACGGCAAACTGATATAGACAGATTGATTCAGAACTGTTTGAATTGTTTTGCAAAGGATAGTTTCTTTAGAGTACTTATTAATGAACTCAGGATATCCATTCCTAAATGAAATATCCTTCAGAGTTTTTTATTTCATGCTCAATAACACTGTCAGAACAAATTTTTCGTGCTCTATTGAACAGTGTTCTGAGCAAGCTCTTTTTATACTGGATTGGAACATAGCTCTTGAAATGCATGTACTATCCTGTCCATGAAAACTTTCTAAATATAAGTTTTTCAATTGTGCTATCAGTCTTTTTCACTAGAAAAATGTCTAGGAACTTAATAATGTCTACTTTAGGCCATAACATGTATGGAATGAAAATGAAGATTACAAAAGATGTACTGAAGATATAAACGAAACAAGATGGCTCCTATTTAAGAATAATAATCACAACTCAATGATAGTAATTTAAATGAAATAATAGATACGCGAGTATAACATTAAAATAGGCTTTCTATCAGATTGTTGTTGCATATCCTTGTGGGGGCTGAGATATTATACGAACATTCAATTAGAAACAGTTGATTACATTAATGAATCATTGTCTAAGCCCGCAATTCAAAGTTCTATCATCAGTTTAGAGGAGGAGTGTTACAACCTGGGTTTTTATTGGTTGCAAGTAAAAAATTAGTTATATGCGCTATTTGTTCCTTCCATGAATGAACAGCTGAGCTATGCTGCATAGCTGCACCATGCATTGAATTCAGCTTCAGTTCAATCTATAAAATGAAAACAATTACATCACTACATGTTTGTCACATAAGATGGCTATACCAGAAAACTTTACCACTGCAGTAAATAGGAATTTGCCTTTGATAACTTTAGAAACTACTTTCTCAATAGGTTAATTTCTTCTAGGCACTGAAGTTGCGTATTTTTCATGCTTCGTTTCCTCAAGACTGATGAAGAAGCTACCATGCGGCTACTGAAAACGCGCAGCCATAAGGAAATAAACTTAACTATCCGTGACATTAACAACAAGATTACAAGTTGACTACTACATGAAACGCCATTTCAATAACACCTGAGAGAAGCATTTTTATAATATGAGAAGAATTTAAAGCTTCTGTTGCGCGCTTTGTAACTTGATACGTTTCCTACTGATCACTTTTCTCTGTATGCTATTAACCCTATTTCAGTCGCACACTGTGCCGCAGTGTACAACCGAAATCTCACAGCAATGCAAAAATACCGTCAAGAACTGGTAATGTTGAAGAAGGACTACTTCTCTCAATCTATTCTACTTTCGAGTATTAGTTAAATTATCATCACACTGTTTAGCACCATTCTAGCATTGGTGTAACCATAAGCCTTAAATAGAGACATATGTCTCAATCGTAAGAAATATACATTTCTTAAATATACAAAGACCTCACCATAATTCTTTGCAATGAACTGGTTGCAGTTCAAAGTTCTTGATTAGCGAGGTGAATTGATTTTGCTCATCATGGTCACTGTACAATTGCTTTTGTAATGGTTTGGTTGTGATTTCCATACCACATTCGCTCTAGAGATGATTGTAAAAATTTCCAGTAATTAAGAAACTCACTCTAATTGATCTTTGTGCCTCTCCGATATCCATGTACAGCAAAGACTCCGCCAGAGAAACTCCATCCATAATGCAAAGTGAGAAAAGTAGTCGTTATTAAGTATGTACTTTTTCCCTCAAGCAAAATAGCCTACAATATTCGATGAACTTTTCTAACCATATGTAATCTAAGGCAAACAATAGCATTAGATATACCTCAGCGTACTGAGATCATGAAATACACTTTTCTTTTTACGATAGAATTTTGTCGTAAGACAGGCTAACGAAATCAAACAAAACTTTTGAATATGTCACAAGAAGGATACATTAAAAATTCCAAGATGTAGACCAGACAACAATTATGTCCAATATCCAATACCAATTTTATGATCTAGTATAAACCAATTTGATTTCCATGTGCTCGCTTCCTGATTGTGAGGCGAAGGTTCCTGGTCTTCGGTTAAATTCTGAGTGGTTTGTCCCGCCCCTCGACTGTCATAGATTTGGCTGACTCCAAAAGGAGTGGTGCTGGGATTAATTATATGTTGTTTGTAGTATTCGGTATGTAAAGACCGTTACTGCTGTGAATGGGGTTGATCCTTTCACCATTAATTCTTCCGGTGTCGTCGACAAAATCAAAGAGATAGTAATAATGACAAATATAATTGGTGTAGACTCATGGACAGAAAAAGAAATATAGAGAACATAAAAGTAGACAGATAATTAAATTCGAAGTTGATACATATATGCATTTATATGTATGTGATATCGATAAATATAATAAGTGTAAGCGTAGTAATTGGAGTAATTTGAAGAATAAGACAGGAGAGAAAGAAAAGAAGTAAAAGGACGAATTTGGTTGTCTACCTTTTAACAGTGTATGAAATTTTAATAGATAGGTCGTCAGAACGCAGTCTCTGTGATGCTTTATGGGTGTCCAGCCTTCTTTTAAAGTTGTCCATAGACATTGCCTTGTCTACATCTGCCGATAAATAGTTCCAAGGATGGAAAACCCTTCAGTGAAAAGAAATGGTAGCGCACTCGAATGTTTGCCCTCTGGTGAGCTATCCTGGGATTTCCGAGAGAAAGATCATCCGTGCTTGATGGCAGAAAAATTTAGTTTGGCGATTCTGGTCATTTGTGATCTTATTGGCAGTAGTCGAATCCCCACTAAGCTAACGGTAGCTAATTGTGAGGCGACATAATATCTTTAGCCCTTTAACAAACTGTTTATTCCCGGGACCAATCAATCTTTTTATCTGCCGTCTTTGTACTGTTTCTAAGAGGTGTGTGTCTCCTCTAAGCAGTGGGCTTCGGTGATATTGCACACATCAGGGTGTGGACAGACGTATGTTTTGTACAGCCGCAGGAAGAGTTCGGGAGTTAGTGCACCTGTCTTTGTGTAAAGTGGATTGCAGCATATACCCTCGCTACATCATCCATGTAATTTACGCCTGTGTCCATTTTTTCGTTAGAACTAGACCTAAGTCACGCCTCAGACTTGTGCAGGACAAGCTTTCTTTGCACAGGGTGTCATTTGAATTCCGAAGCCTACAGGTACGTAATTTCACTACCTTGAATATTTTCGGGTAGTCATACCATTTGCCACTTACCAGTCTTCCAGAAGCTTCAGATCTACCTGCAGCTATCCGAGTCTTCCGAAGATTATTTCGCTCTCCAAATCCTTACATCGTCAACGAAAAGAAGGGCTAAGCAGCTTGTATGGCATGGTAGATCATTACTGAAAGTCAAAACCATCAGTGGCCCTAGGATAGAGCCCTGATGATGGGCTGTGCCAGGACTATTGAATTCGACTGACCTAGGTGCAGAATCACCTTCCACCTACTTAGTCCTATCATGACAGAAGAGGTTCACCTATACCTGCCTGACTTATTTCGTTCAAGAGAAGGTCATGGTGAACTGTGTCAAATGCCTTCTCAAAATGTAGGAAGACCACATGGACTGGAACATTCATATTGCAGCATGATGTCCAACCATCCCAAGCTGATAGTAGGTTTGTTGCGCAAAGTCTGCCTCTCCTGAAACCATGTTGGGCTTCACGGTGTCAGTCAGTCCCATCGAGGTGCTCCCTGATGTGATCACCAATTACAAATTCCAGTAACTTTGATGCCACTAAGGGTAGCGCTACTGGTCTATAACTGGTGGCATTTTGCCCCTCCCTATTCTCTTAGCGATTTCCCTGAATCCATCAAGTGTTAGAACAAGTGGCATAAGGACCTACAGTGGGTCTCGGGCACTGTTTCGAGAAAAATAGCCTGATTTCCTTCCAACCTGGGGACTTCCCAGATGTGTCTCCGTGGCTTCCCTTCCACTACTGCCTGGTTTATTTGGAGAGTAGCCACTGGGTTTTCCTCCAGTAAAGTAGTAGCGCCACCCTTTAGTCCTTACCAGTAACACCCAAATCGCTATTTAACTGTTTGGCGAAGGCTGATCTGAATGTTGCAGCCATTTACAGACTAGTGGGGTATTGACAGTTTGAACCTAGTACGGTGCATGTTCCTGGTTGGTTAGTTATCTCTCCAACATAAGTCAGTACAGGCTTCTGGGGGCTACCAGGAGTCTTTTGGAAGGTTAACCTGAAATGACCTCTTGTCAATCCTAACTTTTGTGTTGCACTGGTTTCTGGGTTTCAGATGTCCAATGTTGTTATTCTTACTCCTGGATATTGACCACATAGACTTCCACTTTGCTTGCGGAATATGTTGAGTACCTCTCTCCAGCTGTGAGGACGTTTGCTTCGACTGTTGTGTGACTAGAGGGACGGTATTCGAAACTGCTTTGTGAATAATCTCCTTTGCCTATATACACATATATATATATAAGTGTACTCCTATGCTCATTTACTGGCTTTACAACAGCTTTTACTCCTCTCTATTATGCTGTTTTGTCACGAGAGCAGAAACTGAGGGAACTAAATATTTTGTGTACTGATGTAAAAATTATTGTACGTACCGGGAGAGAAGTGAAGGATTACAATGGCGTAATTTCACCCTGAGCGTCGGTGGCGTAGCAGTTAGGATGCTCGCTGACCGTGCACATCGTCCGAGGTTCGATCGCCGGCGACCAACGCACTCCTTTACCACTCTAAGCCAGAAATAATGCTGGTAAAGAGGAAAGGTTGGGCATGAGGCTAGCAACCCCATCCTGTAAAATAAACACTGCTACAGAAACTTCAAGTCACTAGCTTGAAGCCCTATGTTCCACTGGGAACGTGAAGGGAAAATAATTTCACCCTGCCTAATCTGTTTCTGTTGCTAAGTCTAGATAAAACAGTTGTTAGTAAGTGAGTAAATTTAGAACAGAAAAATAGATAAACGTATACAGATACCTAGCAGAAATAATAATCGAAAATCAAGTAAACGGATGGTCGGATTAAGGAGAAAAGTGGAACAAGGAGGACTGTGTAGATATCAGAATAGTATTTGGTAGATAGCTCATTGGTAGAGTGTGACATGTTATGATTCCATCTCATTATGGTAGGAAGGGGAGACTGTTGGATAAATTTATATATATATATATTTTATCCAAGTATCCGCATGAATTGGCGTGCCGTTTTAACAAGCGTGACCAAGTTCACCCTCGAAGGCACGCAAAATTCTTGTGAAGATTTATGTGACTTTATGTGAATGCGAGGGTCCTTAAACATAGGTTAGATGTTAAGTAGTCCGTATATACATAGGGTAGCCTGGGTTAATTTTCTTTTTGCATTTTATAACCTTTGCGTTCCCGGTGGAACAGAGGGATTCAAGCTATGGCTTTGAAGTTTTCACACCAGTGGTCTTATTTTTACGTAATGGGATTGCTAGTCTCACGTCCGACACTTCCTCTTTGGTGGGCTTACTACCAGCCAAGAGAGGTTTGGGAGCATGTCAACTGGGTATGGAATCCCTGACTGCATGAGTGGCTGACGAAGATTTTACCTCGATGTTCCACTTGAGCGAATATATTTCTTCAAATTCAGGGTATTGCATCGGGGCTTTATGCTATTAATTCTATTGTTCAAACATATTGTGAATGAAGTGTAAATAAGTTAATGGAAGGATATTCGTTGACAGGGCATTAGAATGCTGCAGGAGATCAACCAGATGAAGTGAAAGATTTGATTTTTTTTGATTTTTTGGTTTACAGCTTGATTCCACACTGTATTTTTGGTACAAGTATGGAATTTTCAGCATGGATATCGGTAACCCAAATTTTGCAGGCTGACCATAGATATCAGGTGTGAGTCGGCAGGGAATCGAACCTCGGACCATGTGCATGGTCGGTGAGAGTCCTAACCGCTGTGCCACCGACGCACAGTTCGATAAACGGTGCGCTATACTGCATAACGAAACACTTTAACTGTTTCGCGTTTGCTATCTGGTTATTGAGAGGATGTGCCCACTATTATACGGCGTAAATTTAGCTCCTTTGTCGAAAGCTGTGGGCGATTAATTCTGATGTTGTGTATAGAAGGTAGAAGGGGAGAATTGTGGTTAAACTTTAGTCGTCTTAGACACAGCAACTAAGGTACGTATTTTATGCAGTTATCACCAAAGATGACTTTCACGATTGCTTATTAGGCAATGTGGGAGAGCATGCCGGATATTTTCGGCATGAACCCTACCCTATTCGTGCATAAAACCGAGTATAATTGTGCATTACTCGAGTATCGCACAAACCATGGCTTTGTACAGAAGAAATTCAGCCTCAGCTGTGTCCAGTTTTCGGTGCAGCAGACTTGTGATACTCCACCAACTGAAAAAGTGGATCATGCGTGCTGTGTGAGCATTAAATTTCGGGAGTATAGGAGCCCTAAGGCTTATATATAGCTTCGAAAAATACGTCGCCTCGGCGTATTCAGTGTAGGGGTTCCACACTCATTAGAACTTAATGGTATTTGCCAAGCATTGTTCCACGTAGAAATCTTGTTTACATTGTATTAAGTATATGTAAACCTTTATATCAGGGCTGAATAAGGAAGCTGTATACAATCTTCAAGTTGACGAATGTAGAAGCTAATTCCTAGATGTTTTAGGTTTGTTTGTTGGCTGCTGGTGAGTACTATAATTTTCCTTCGCCTAATTTCACTGCAGCTGCATCAGTAGCAACAAATTTCATAAAACAAGCCCCGAGGACATGAATTATGGGCAATGTTTCTCCAGTGCAACTTATTTTGAACGTGCAGAGTTTGTTTTGTTATTCGAATTAATGACCCTCACTGTAGGTCACACATGGCGGTAACTGTACTCGTGCCTCGATGGCTCAAAAAACACAGGATTCGAACGACACTGTGGGTGACCCTTCTGTTGTAAACAGGGGTCTGAAAATTCTCACTGGACTGAAGAAGATTAGTTTTTCATCGGAACATGCGTATGCACAACAAAATCAACCACTTGATATTTTAGACTGACTGCTGCAATATTTACTGGCTTTCGGTCTATTCGTTTAGCTGCTGAATGGTAAAGTAAACCAGAAATTTTTGTTATATTTAGGGTCGCATCTCATGCAAGGGATCCCTTGCTGTTTACTGATTTTGAAGTGGATTTCCATGTATATATGAGCTTAGACAGGAAGTTCGAATCTGATGTCCAATCATTCCTGTCGGCTGCACGGAGTTATATAGGATGGTCATACGTTTTTGACCGTCCAGCTCATGTTCCAGTACTTCATCTGAGAGTGAGTGAATCATTTTTGAGTAATTCTCAGGTGAAACCTCAAGATGCATTGGTTCTGGAATCCATTTTTGCTAAAACATTCAATCTCTTTAATGCTAATCCCCCTACTGATATCAAGATATTATTTGAATTGCTGGTAGATACTGAAGCCTCTGTCATTTTCAGATTTGCAGAGCCCAAAGTGTATGCTCTGCTACAACAGATCTCAGAAGCGTTCATCGAAAACCTGTCAAAAGGTGAGAAACTTTCTTAGGTTTTGTCGTATACTACTGGTTAAACGTAATATAACTTTGGACTGATATGTACATTAGCTTCAAGGTGTTACTAACTTTTCGTGGTCTTTTCAAAATAGGTTTTTATGCTGTTCTGATTGAGATGGGGCTATATCTCTGCATTGTTTTGTGTATTTTGATTTTGGTGTAGTTTGCCTGAAATATGTTGCATACGATAACTTTCTTTCTTTGTGTGGATATGGTAATTTTCATGTATATATCCTGTTAATAATCTGTCAGCTTGATTCTGTTTTTATTATTCTTTCATCCTTGATTTTTTGGCATCCTGTTTTTCCTCATTACGCCACTTATTCAATTATGTATATATCTAGTTGAAATAAAATTTCAGATTTTCAAAGAAATTGACGTCTCTTCATGGTTGGTAACTGCAGATATTGAATTTATTTGTCTTGCCACAAAAAATCCGTTATCAAATGGATGAACAGCTTGTGCTAATAGTGCATTACTGTAGGTCTACGAACTACGAGTATCAACTGCAGAAATAATTCGACTGACGAAATAGGTTTTTAGTCATGCCTAAGCTGTGTAGCTCTAGGGGCTTAAAGATTATATCATGAACAGTTGTGATATTACCCTGTAGAATCCTTAACTGAAGTGAATTGATTTCAGGTTTAATACGATGACGAATCGAAGCAGAAATCAGCTATGTGTGGTGAGTTAATGCAATGCGGGTCTTCACACGTGCTACACAAGTGTTATCAATTAGAAATTTTCAAATAAAGCATGTTTAATCTGCTTCCCCTAACTAATTTTGTATGTCATCATGAGTTCTTTGCGATAGCAACATTACTTTTCTTTGTCAGTAAAACAGTTTAAAGTGAGATGTATAAGAATGCAGTCACTCAGTTACGCCTTTTCTCAATTCTTACCAATTTTTATTTTTAAAAAAATCTTAATTTTCTAGTTCACTTAGGTTTTGAGGTGGTTTCCAACTCATGCAAATCAAATAATCTATTCACATTAGTCAGTAGCATTAAATCTTGTGATGAAACGAATCTGATTTTAAAGCAACTTAAAGAAGCTTATTTACCTAATGATTATTGTATCAATGATGGTAATCGTCAACTCAAATTCTGCTTATATTCACACGATCCCCGTTTGAGAGATTCAAATCTAGAGGTAGGCAGTTTCTTTGTGTTTTGTTGTATTGAAGATTTTTTTTTGTAACCAGGCACAACTAACTTGTTTTGTCTAAAATAGAAAGTAAGGGTTTCCAGTGTGACAGTTGTAAGAACAATTCCCCGTAGTTTTATCACTCGAGGAAATTTGGTTGACATGATGGTTATTTTCTTAATCTGCCTAATCCAATCAATATTTTTCTGGGAATAACCTTGATTCAGAATTAGCATTCAACTGTAGAACAGAATTCATCGCTAGACTAGATCCTATTTCAGTTTACATTGTCTTGCCGAGTGAATATATAAGCATAGAAACGGGTGGAGGTACTAGTCGATATTTGATACTAAAAAGTACTAAGGTACTAAGCAGCGTCTGATATGCGATTCACTCCCGCCAAATGTAAGATGATGTTACAGGATTGGACTACACTGACTCATAGCTTAAAGATAGGGAGTAAAGTGGTAGAGTGTGTTGACCACTTCACTGATTTAGGAAGCTGAATCAGTCAGCGCCAACGGGTTGATCGCTGACGAAATCTCAGCATAGATACAGAAGGCTTGTTTCGCATATGCCAGTTTTAGATGTCTCTGGCTTAGTAGACGTGATATCCGGCTGGCTGTCGACTAAAGGGCGTGTGTACTGCTCAGCAGTCCTCTCCGTCCTCCTTTTATGGCTATGAGACCTGCCCATTTGAGAGTGGAAGACATGAAAAGACTAGCTAGCTGTCTTTGATCATAGGTGCCTGCGTTCTATCTCCCGTGTGAAGTGGTATAGCGCCATTGAGAACGACTTTGAGCCATATCACCTATTGTCTCCAGCCATTGGTTTTCACCATCCCGAGGACCCCAATCAGGAAGTTTACACCTCCCTACTTGACTGGTTTTTTAGCTAACTGTTGTGGATTTCATTGACTGATGAAACCATGTTTTGGTTTGACCACCACTGGCTCTTGTCTAAACTGACTCTATGTCAGCTAACACTACCCGTCGAGGAAGGCGATGACTAGGAATACGTAACACATGTCTTAACCATCTCAGTCGATGTAGCTTCACAGCCTCGTCGATTGATTTCCCCTCCTCACCTAGCACTCGACCGATGCCTTAACTCAGTATTGCTTACCCTACTATACCACTTCACATGGGAGATAGAGCGCAGGCACCTATGATCAAAGACAGCTAGCTAGGCATTTCATGTCTTCCACTCTCAATGGCCAGGTCTCACAGTTAGCCATAAAGGAGGACTGAGCGGCCTGATGAGCAGTACACACGCCCTTTGGTCGATAGGTAGCCGGATATCACGTCTACGTCAGAGACGGCGTAAACTGGCAAATGCTAAATGAGCACTCTGTATCCGTGCTGAGATTTCGTCAGTGATCAACCCGTTGGTGTTGGCTGATGGTACTTCGTAAATAAGTGGAGCGGTCAACGTGCTCCACCACTACACTTCCTATTTTTAAACTAGGAAGTTACTCAACTCAGAAAGCCAAGTCACTTCGATCCGCGCGGTCGCAGTCATATGGACGAGTCATCTATGAAGGAACTGATGAAGGAATCATAATCCTGCTTGAAATATCTTCCGACAAATAGAAAATGTTGATCGTCCTCTAAAATATTCACACGATCTGTGCGCATTTTATATTTCAATAACCTTTATACAGTTGCTTAGATCTAAGTAGTTCTAAGGTAATCTGTAAACTGATATTCATTTATTACCAGTCTTATATCATTTATCAACTCTAATAATAAAAGTTGTATATTTCGGGGTGGGTGTGTGTATGTGCACTAATTCCTTTTTTGTTTTCCTCAATTATTATTATTATTATTATTTTACTCTTTATGAAGGCATATGAAATGTTAACAAATGTAGAACCGGATATAATTGCTTATAATGACAACGATTGTACACAAGTGGACGAAGAAAGTGTAGAACAATTTTATAGTGGCAAAATACAAAATAATACTATTACTAAGAGTAATGGTAGTGGACTAACCTATTGTGATGATAATAATAGTAGGAATAATATGCCTGATAATTCAACTACAAACAATTCATCACAGGAATATCATCATAAACATCTGTCACATTATGCTGGTGATTACATTCTATTAGTTGATTCTATGTGCTTAAAAGAACGCCTAGGCTGTCCGTATGGAATAAATCTGTCTACTGGTGAATCTGGTCTGTTTAATCTATCAGCTGGTAGACGTATACCACAGAGTCAAACATGGACATTACACTGGTAAATTGTGGATTTTTTTTTCTTCTTTTTAAAGCATAGTACTGTTTTGATTGTTTAAATTACGTACATTTTGTCTTGGCACTCAATTTCTAACCAATGAGTCGCGAGTTCGGACCTCGTCCCGTCTGCTGAGGTTTGGTCAGCCAAGTAACATCGTTAGCCTTCACACAACAGGTGCGTGGGGTTCATTGCCAACTGCATGAGATCGCAGGTGGTTACTGAGTAGTATTCACTCAGTCAGTCTTTAGATTAGAAATGAGGAGAAAAGCGAGTATAATATGTTTGTTAGGTGGTATACACTTATTTGAAGGGGATCGTCTCACCCATTTGAAAGGTCTCACATAGTAGTATTTAATTCAGATCTTTATGCCTTCTCTTATGCTTCATAATCAATGGAATCTTCTATTTGTTTGGTTATTTTGTAAAATGAAGCCTTGAAATTAGGAGAATTCTTCTGGGAAATATGAATAGCTTTGAAGGAGATGAATAATAGACCCTTAGGGAAGTAAGCAGTACTACTTAACTGTTGGAATATTATTGATTTAAAATGGTTGGTATTTTATAGTTTGGTTTGTAAGGGTTAGTTTTGTTTTTACTAGTTGATCACGGATTGATATCAGTTAGATAACCATTGAAAACCAGCCGGGAGTACTGCCAGACAGCTATTTCCTCCGTCCTAGTTTGGGAATCATCGACAGTACGCACCCACCACCAAGGTTCAAACCCAGGACCTTCCGGTTACAAGGCAAGCTGGCTCGTATATCATTCAGCCACTGAGACCCGATTCAATGCTCGCTAGTGACTTGCTACAGGACGGAGTTTCCTGGAGTTCTAGTGAGAAGTCGTGACGAGTGAGGTCCATGCAGTCATGTGTGAGGATGAATGTCCCACCTACGACAATGTTTGGGGTCGCGCTACATCACGAATTAGTAAAAGTTACAATTCATGAGCCATTGAATCGGGTCCCAGTGGCTGAATGGTATACGAGCCAGCTTACCTTGTAACCGGAAGGTCCTGGGTTCGAACCTTGGTGGGTGGTGGGTGCGTACTGCCGATGATTCTCAAACTAGGACGGAGGAAACAGTACTCACGGTTGGTTTTCAATGGTTCTCTGACTGATATCAATCTGTGATCAACTCGTAAAAAAGGTTGGTATCCACTTGTGAGTAGTACTTAAATCGATTAACTAGTGTCTTGCATATCTCTTTGCCTTTGATCAGTTCTTTGTCATCATCAAAGTTTGGTGCTGCTTTGTTTGTTTAGTCATATGGATACATGTAAAGCGTAGGATGAGATGCTTCAGAATTATCTGTGGAGCTATTGGGGCAATATTTTTCGAATGTAGAAAAAAAGCGATTTGAAATAATTGTGTTGCAATACTTTGTGACTGTAAGCAAACGTGCAGACATGGTGTGGAATTCTGAATTTGCATATTGTACAGTTTCACCATGGTTTCCATTGGAAACCGAACTTGTTCAGATAATAATCGGTAGTGTATTTGAGGCCATAAAAATGGTAGTGAGAGAAGCCACCATCAATCCATGATAACATACACTACTGATCAATTCATATAAGTAGTGAGATGTCGCTCACATCAGCCAGTAGGGCTTAATAGACAACCAAATCGAAATGGTCTAAACACCCACACGGTTAGCAAGTGGTATCACTAGTTAATGCGAGTGCTATTCAACTGCTCAGATCAGTCAGTTAGTAGTATTAAATATCAATCCACATATATCATATTAATTCAAGAAAATTCTTATTATTAATGAATGGAATCAATGTTCATTTTAAGTCACTTGGTTGATGGTGGAGGACACGCGTGTCTTGGCTGATTGTGTTTGCATCTTCTAGGAGTAATGGTGACATCACCGGGCAGCCTCTGTACTGAGAGCTGGGCATGTTATAACAAAGACCCAGTATTTCAGTTCACTAAAATCAATCACCGGAAAATTCAAAATAATTGAACGTTGTTAAAACATACAAATAAACAATAGAGTTGATTTATACATATTATAGTGGAAAGTTCAGGAGGGTTGGGGTGAATAGTAAAGTAAAATTATAAAATAGATAAAATAATTTAATTTAGTATTAGATTTGGAACCATAAGAGTGAGTTCAACTCAGTGAGTGAAAATCAGAAATCAAGATTTAGTGGGATGTCAGGTTACAGAACAAAATAATTATGGTTACCAGGGTAGTGAAAGATTAATCACACTATCTTTCTGTATGCATAGGTTAAGTTTGGTCGGAGTCTTTTGATGGTAATAACTTTCGCTAACCGAATTAACCATGCATTTCTTTGTGTATTGATTATTTGGAAAGCCTGACTAATTTCCATTGTATGTCCTGTGTCAGTTAGGTGTCTGACGATTGCTCTTGAGAACGCTTTCCTGCCTTTCAAACGGAGACTTTTAGGGATATGCTCGGAGAATCTAGTAGACACTCTCCTCTCACCTATTATATTCATTCATGATTGTTCATTTAATTACCGTTACACCACTTTACTCTGTTTTTAATTTTTAGTTCTGTCCCTGTAAAATTATCGTCACCAATGGAATCATCTGTTGGACGCATTTGCACAGTAAGTAAAGTACATTGTCTTTTAAGTGAATTCTTGTCTTAATGATATACTTCTATTGGTTGAGGCTATCGACTTTAGAGCCATGAAATTCTGATTTCAAATCTCCCTTTGCCCTAATTTAGCCTGGAGAACTCATTGTTGTCATCATTTTTGTCTGTCTGTCTCTCTCTTCCTCTCTCTCACACACATAAAGTATATGACTACCTGTGCTTAGCTTTGGTATATGGAAAATCTGTTAGGAACAGTTGATTTCTGATTGGCTATTTTTTCCCTAGTTTATATTTCAGATCACCAACAAATCAGATTTCCTTTCAAGGCGGTGTGGTTGATTTCAAGGTAGATCATAAGCTGACCTCAGTTAGAGGTCACGACGCTATTTTGTCGTAATTTACTACTTCTCAACAATACGCATCTACAACCCATCCCATACGGGGGATCGAACCGAAGACCCATAGGTTATCTTACTATGGTTGGTGGTGAACAACACTGGAAAATCTAAGACGCAGCTGTTTCTTCCTATTTTGAGACTCGTCAACTGGATGTAGCTGTGTGTGTGTGTGCGCGCGTCAGTGAATGACAGAGAGAAACCTGGGATCTGTAGCACCCATCATTTTAAACGCCAAAGTGTTATCCACTGGCGCTTGATAACCACTTCTTGTTCCACGCGTGTCAGAGTAGAAATGCTCTCAACTAGAGTTTGACTCTTCATATGCTCAATCCTCCTTATGAATTTTAATAAAGCAAGAATAACGATTTGTGCAGAATAAGTTCGTTCCGTCGTTTATCACGTCGGCTTCGTACAGCCTGAAGAAATTACTAAGTTTATGTACAGAAAATAAACGCCTAGATACAGTGGCGGAGTTGTGTAATAAAGAGGTGGATAAGACAAAGGGATAACTGATAAGTTAAGCAACAATGTGGTGGGTTCAGTCCAAATCATAGAAACTAAGAGACAAGCATAGTTAGACAATAGTATAGGGGGGCCGCAGAGGTTATAGTCAAAGATTCGTTTTAATGCCGCTCACACCAGAATCCATAAAAAACAAAAAATTCACTGTCCAGGTTGTAGTCATTTTTCACCGTTTACAAAAGAAGACGTATACAGAGAACATTGATCAGCCTACTCAAAATGTGAATATTTCAATCGGCTATCGACCAAAAAGCGTGTGTACTGCTCAGCAGTCCGCTCCGTCCTCCTTTATGGCTAACTGTGAGACCTGGCCATTGAGAGTGGAAGACATGAAATGCCTAGCTAGCTGTCTTTGATCATAGGTGCCTGCGCTCTATCTCCCATGTGAAGTGGTATAATAAGGTGAGCAATATGGAGGTTAGGCCTCGGTTGAGTTCTAGGTAAGGAGGGGAAATCAATCGACGAGGCTGTGAAGCTACATCGACAGTCATCGCCTTCCTAGTCGGGTAATGTTAGCTGACATAGGGTCAGGCTGGAAAAGAGCTAGCGGCGGTCAATCCAAAACATGGCACCAGTCAATGAAATCCACAACCGTCAGTTTACGCTAGCCACGTAGGAAGGTGTAGACTTCCTGACTGGTTGGGGTCCTCAGGACAGTAAAAAAACCAATGAAGGCTGGAAACAATTGGTGATATGGCTCAAAATTGTTCTCAATGGCTTGCGCAGATGCATCCACTCCCTGTGACTTATGATTTCTAATGAAACTGTTTTGTTCTTCATTATAACTATTCCTTTGTCTCACACCTCTGTTTATTGTCTCTATTATGCATTTTTTCTACTTCCTTCTCTTGCTTTGTGTGCTACAAGGAGTGGAGTGTGGGGCGACTTGAACTCCCGCAGATCGGTGCAAAGTTCTATGTCGAAAACAGACAGACAGACAGATAAATTAATTTATCGTGTTGGTAGAAGTCGAAATCCATCAACCATTGGGTTGGGTCCTAATGGTTGAATGGTCTACGAGCTTGCCTTGTAAGCGGAAGGCTCAAGGTTTGAAGTCTGGTGGGTGGGTGTGTACTGATAAAGAGTTCCAAACTAGGACAAAATGGCCGTCCAGTACTCCCGGATTTTCCAATCGTTCTCCAACTGGTGATAACTCGTGATAAAACCTATAAATTTATTGTTTAAAAGCTTCCATAAGTGCCATGACAGATGATTATACTTTTGGTTAGTTGTTTAAAGAATAAATTGTGTCATCATGTGAAATCATTAACGCTAAACACTTCACACTTCTGAATGTACTTCATCTTCCTATCATAAATTTACACAGATCGATTATAGTTTGTGTGTGTTGACCTTTGTTTATTCATTCAGATTTCTAATCACTATTTTATGATTCATAATCACCTGTATCTACACACCAGTAAGTAATATTGTACTTTAGTACTTACATTCACTGATAAATCTAAACACACATGCACACACACACACACACAACGAAACTACTTGTTATGCGTTGATATTTTCGAATTATGTGTTAATTTACTTACGACGCGCAGGTGGTTTGAGATTCGATTCCCTCCCAGTGCACTCCTAAACCTCTCTCAGTCGGTGGTATTAAGTTTGGTTTAGAGGGAAGGTTACGCGAGTGGCTAGCAAACTCACCCGCCCTCCCCCCCCGCATAAAGTAATGACCTCACAGCTACTGAAACTTCGAACTACAAATCTTGATTGAAACCGTATGTTTCACTTGGAACTCAGAGGAATAAATATGCATTAATTTACCCGATCTTTATAGTGCTTTTTGTGCCGTTAATCGATAAACGTACAGACGTTGATTTTATTATTATTATTATTGTTACTACTATTCGTTCTCTTTGTTCCGAATAGGACATAGGGCTTTAGTAGCACATTTTCGATGCACTGGGTTCTGCGAGATCGCTTTCAACTAGCTCCACAACTGACCAGAAGGTTTTATATTAAATGGTTGGAGGCAATCGGCCAAGGGAAGCCTTGTTTGACCTAGGTTTCGTGCTGGTTGGCACTCACCAGTCCGCAAGGCGTATCTGCAACTAACCACCTTGACGAAACTCATATCCTTTCTGAGATTCGAACCCGCGTCACTCATTGCTACAGTCTGAGGCGTTACCACTGAGCTATTCGAGGTCGCAATTGATCTTCTGTAGGGATATTTTGACTGGACACTGGTAACTAGTGTGATGTGTCTATTCCTTTCTTTGTTATGTAACACCTGGTAACGTCTCTGACTGCAGGCGGCACTGGGTGACGCGGGTTCGAATCTCAGAGAGGTGGAACATGAGTTCCTTCAAGGTCTGTCTGTCTGTCTGGATTCAACATAGAACTTGGCACCGAAGTGCAGCAGTTCGAGTTGCCACGTTCCAAATAGCACACAGAGGTAGACAAGAAGATGAGTGAAGAGAATTAATAGAGTTTGACAAATATAAGAGTGAAACAGAATGGGTAATGGTAGAAAGGAATATGAAAGATTACAGAGATTGAATACATCTGCGCCATTGACAACGATTTTGAGCCATGTCACCTATTGTCTCCAGCCATTGATTCCTAGAGTCCCGAGGGCCCCAACCCGGGAGTCTGCATCTCCCTACCTGACTCAGTTTAACTGTCAAGGATTTCATGGATTGATGCCATGTTTTTGTTTGGCCACCACTGGCTCTTTTCCAACCTGAACCTATATCAGCTAACAATGCCCGTCGGGGGAGGCGGTGGTTAGGCATGCGCACCACGTGACCTAGCCATCTTAGTCTATGTAACTTTATAACCTCGTCGATTGATTTTCCCTCTTTGCCCAACACTCTACGCCTAACGTCAACATTACTTACCTTATTAAACCACCTAACGTGAGACAGAGATCGCAGACATCTATGATCGAAAGCAGTCAACCTTTTCATGTCTTCAACTCGTATTGGCCATGTTTCAGAGCCATAGAGAAGGATGGAGCGAACTGATGAGCAGTACACACGTCCCTTGGTTGATAACCGGATGTCACGCCTACGCCAGAGATGGTGTAAGTCAGCGAAAGCAGCTCGAGCTTTTCGGATCCGTGCTGAGATTTCATCGCCAATCAGTCCGTTGGTGCTGATACAACTTCCCAAGTAGGTGAAGTGGTCAACATGTTCTATCACTTCACTCCCTATCACTAAGTTAGGGGTTGACGTCGTCCAGTCCTGTAGCAGCATCTTACATTTTGCAGGGGCGAATCGCATGCCAAACATACGAAGATTGCTGCTCAAGGTGTTCAGAAGACTCTGCATTTTGTCAGCATCCTCCCCTAACAGGACTATGTCATCTGCATATTCTAAGTCCATTAGATTATTCCCTGGTAACAAGTCGATTCCTAAGTCACTACGTTCAGTTGGGCATTTGAAGGGGACACGGAGGAAATCATCTGAGGAAGGAAATAAAACCTTCTCTTTGATTGGACACTAGTAACTAGTGTGATGTGTCTAGTCGTCTCATTGGTGCAGACTGAATTCTACCAGTCAGCTTCGTAATGTGGCCACCATTCTAGTAGCTCGCCGTCACAGCGCACATTGATTTGATGATATTAGATGGTTGGAGGCAATCGACCAAAGGAAGCCTTGCTTGGACCTAGGTTTCGTGCCAGTTGGCACTCACCAGTCAGTCAGAAAGGCGTATCTGAAACTACCTTGTTCCTTCAAGGTAGTTTCAGATACGCCTTTCTGACTGACTGGTGAGTGCCAACTGGCACGAAACCTAGGTCCAAGCAAGGCTTCCTTTGGTCGATTGCCTCCAACCATCTAATATCATCAAATCAATGTGCGCTGTGACGGCGAGCTACCTAGAATGGTGGCCACATTACGAAGCTGACTGGTAGAATTCAGTCTGCACCAATGAGACGACTAGACACATCACACTAGTTACTAGTGTCCAATCAAAGAGAAGGTTTTATTTCCTTCCTCAGATGATTTCCTCCGTGTCCCCTTCAAATGCCCAACTCAGCATTTCGCATTCGGTTTCCACTAAATGGATTTGCTTGTGATATCAGTTTAAGGAGTCCTCAGAGTATATGCGTTTCATCTTCATCTGGATATTTGTCGCGTAACAAATAGTTTTTTTCGGGTGATTGGCTGACTGTCAGGGCTCTCCTTGTTGGGGTGTCTTTTGTTGCCAACCGTCACTATCGAGTAGAGAATAGAAGTAAAAAGAGCAAACATTTCAGTGAAGGTTACTGAATAGAATTTTTGATTTTCTCGTCGATTGATTGGACCGAAGTACTCGGTCTCAGGTTGACTTGTCGGCTTCTTGCGCAGATGCTTCGACGATGTCTGGGCATTTAATTAATATACAATTGGTGGATGGTAGCTAGCAGTGCAATCCACCATCCACCAATTGTATTTCAGTGAAGGGACTATTTTTTTGCGTGAATCCATTATTTAGTGAGGGAATGAATTCGCTCCGAATAGCACCTCTTCGTAGATCTGTCTCTTTCTTATTCCCAATATCCAAGTGAACATTTTTTCATATACTCAATAAGAATTCGTCGTCGGTTCAACGTTGGAATGCTCTCCAACCGCACAGGTGGTCCGGAGTTCGGTTCTCGATGCACACCTTTAAACCTCACTTGGCTTGTAGTGAGCCCTGTAAAGAGGGAAGGTTGGGTGTGTGAGACTAGTGACTTCACCCTTTAAAAAAAAACAACAGCATCTTGCGGAAACTTCGAAGCCCAATACTGAAGTTCTATTTCCGCCCCCCTTCTCCCAGGACACAAAGAGATGGAAATAAGAATAAGACTCCTCTCATTTATTTGTAAAAAATTTATATAAGGAATCCTGTTACCAAATACTATTTTCTACAATAGAATTTTAATCTCACCTCGTTATTTTGAAAATCTGTTTTCTACTTAATACAAATCAGAATTTACAATCTCAGTTTCCAGTTATTTTAGAACGTTTATTTTGTCACGCACACAAGGGATTAATTAAGCTGTCTAATCAGGTGATTTTTTTGCGCGCGCACTGATGCGTGTGTGTGCTGTCTCTCTCTCTCTCTGAAAGAAACATAAGCATTTCAGATGCATCTCATTGTTTTTCTGTGTTTTCTTCTCTTCTTGTTTCTATACGGCACTGTTTCTTTCTCACTGCGGTATGTGTGCGTGTTGTGTTCGTCATTCCGATCATAATTATTCGATTTAAGACTGGTAAAAAGGAATATGAGCAGGTGTTATGCGTACGTCATGTGTGTATGTGTGTGTGTGTTTGCACTCTTTAGGTGCCCCTCTGTCTGCTTCTACATGGACGCACAACCACACACACATACACACACAGAGTAACACACATATGAGTACTACCGTCTATATAGTCCACTCGATTCAGTAAGTAATTTCACTCATGAATGTATATAATAATAATACGCATTGACTCTGAATTCCTTTATTTCTCTACGTGTATGTGCACTTTGAGTGTGTGTGTGTGTGAGGGACAAGGTGGTTGTTTGCGCGACGGCATTCATAACATTAATTTTTTGCTTCAACCACGTGATTTTTTTTGCTTTTCGACTTGAAGTTCCTTCATTTTGTCTGTTCAGTATTTTCAAGTATTGGTTTTGTAGGGATTTTTTTGATTGGTTGAAGGATTTTATCATGAGCTGACATCGGTTAGAGAACCATTGCTGTTTCCTCCGTCCTAGTTTGGGATCCTTCAGCAGTATACACCCACCGATCACCAGGGTGGTGAACCCAAGACCTTCTGGTTACAAGGCAGAAGAGCTAGCTAGCTCATAGACCATTCAGCCAGCCACCATTTGGACCCGATCCAATATTTGAAAATAAATAAATAAAGTACGGAGTACTGGTTTTTCAGTGTTTCACAGTCGAATGACACTCATACATTCATGATTTTGATTTTTGTTTGTTTAAATTGTCAACACTCATTGAACATTCATTAATTTTCAGTAATGTTGAGATTTTACTTATTTATTTCACTTGTTATTTTTTTAGTTTTAAATTTTGTCTTGTCTATTTAAAGAGTGTGTTGATGTTATTACTATATCATTGTATTTGTCCTTTGCAACCTCTTCTAGGTGCGTCGGTGGCACAGCGGTTAGGGCGCTCGCCGACCATGCACATGGTTCGGGGTGCGATGCCCGGCAACTGACGCACTCTTTACCTCGCTAAGCCAGTAGTGAGACTGGTAAAGAGGGAAGGTTGGCCATATGACCCTAGCAACCCCATCCTGTACAAATTAATACTGCTACAGAAACTTCAAGCTTCTAGCTTGGAGCCCTGTGTTCCACTGGGAACGTGAAGGAAATAAAAAAACCTCTTCTAGACTATTAGTTGCACTGTGTGAATATAGAACTCGGGCTCTGTGTATGGTAAAGAATACAATTCCATATTAGATGTAGGTCTATTCGATACAACACACACAATAATACAGTATTAATTACTGGATGGATGATGTTTTGAGAACAGTTTGTTACTCGTCATAATCATCATATCAAAAGTATTCACATGATTTCGTTTGTGTACATGATGACAGTAACATTGAATCCGAATGTACTTTTGTGCTGAGAGCTGTCTGCAAGCCAAAATTGTAGACAACAATTTACGTCAATGTTTACGTCCCAAATCCGAGTGAGGGGAAGAAACAACAACAAAGCTTAACCTTGACGAGCTCACCAACCAATCACAGCAGACTTAACGTGGGCGGATATGAATCGCAGATATCTTGCCTGACCTTCGAAGAAACGGAGAAACAAGCTGTACAGAATAACCTTGAGCAAGAAAACAACCAATCAGAGGACGTTGCTTCTCTGCTAACAATAACACTAATAATAATGTACATAAAAATCTATAAATATATGCTTTAGGATAAGGAAAATTTGTAGTTCTGATTGCGTCGACTCAGAACTTGACTTCTGAAAGCCACACTCGCAGAAAACGGTTACCCTAACCGATTTATTGACAGAAACATGAAAGATAAGCAGCCTAAACTGGTCACCGACTCAGTTCCAAAGAAAACCTTATTCGTGAACTTGGAATTCAAAGGAGATCAAGCTTCAGATATGCTCAAAAATCGTCTTTCCAAATCAGTTAGTAAAACGTTCCCTGCAGCTAGATTACATATGACGTTCACGAGCCGCAAATTGTTCTCTACCTCTGTAAAAGATAAGCTCCCCCGTCTGACCGCCTCCATGTACATCTACCAGTTCACCTGCTCTTGTGGAGCAAGGTACACTGGCCGTAGTCAGAGAATGCTCTCCACACGGATACGGGAACATATTCCAGCTTGGTTTTACAAGGGAGAAAGGAAATGTGTGCGAAGCTCTATCTTAGAACACCTCATCGACTCCTGTCACTCAGTCAACCCTGACCATGATTTCAAGGTCATATAGAATTCATGCTAACTTCCCGCGTTCTCTTCGTTACAGACTTCTAAAGACAGCTGAGGCCTTGGTAATTCATGACTTTAAGCCAGATCTTTGTGTACAAAAGAAGTATGTACAATCCCTACTGCTGCCTTGGCCGTAGAGGGATAGACATTTATTTATTTTATTATTCTATGTACTTTTCCCTTATTACTTCGATTATTATTATTATTATCATTATTATTATTATTATTACGACTCTCATTCTGAATCTTTTCCACTTGACTTACTTGACATTTTAAACCAAAAATTATTCATGTGTATACTTTTTATCTTTATTTTTACAATATTAAATTCTATGTTATCAAATTTCACACCATGTTACGTGACATTTTATATTCGTCTATTAATCTTACAATTATATTCCTCTCCCCAAAATCTATACACCTGATGTATTATCTTATATATGACATTAATTATTGTTCCACTTGACTTAAACTATGAATATAATCACAAATATTTGAAATTTATTTCATACTGTCATTATTTCATATGTTCACACCTTTGACCTAATTCCCTCACCGGATATAATTTCTTTATAAAACCATATATATACGATTGTACAGCTTGATAATAAATTCGTTGAAAAGAGTCTCTTCGCTGAAAATTGTGTTCTTAATGCTACAATGGGAATTATTAAATTACTATGAATATCTGTTGATTTCCTCAATAAACCATCTGTTGCTTGGCCCTGGTCATCTGTCGTTACACTTTATCTCTCCTCTCTGTTCCACTCATGTATACTGGGCTTTTATTGATTATATTATTCAAATCAGTCTAATCAATTTTTACTCATGTATGCAAATGAGGCAAGAAAGTTGTGTGAGAGCACTTTGATATGATTATGAGCAGCAACAAATTGTGCTCATGAGTAAATATTATTTTATAACTAACACACTGTGTGACTTTATCAAAATAAAACTTTATCCTTATTGGGATTATACTGTACCACAGTGCTCAAGTTTTATCCGTATAGTGAGGAGAACACCTCGCGCGATAAGTTTTTTATTCTCACTCGGATATCACCTGGAAATATCTTCCTTCTTCTTTTTCTTCAATGAATTTGTACCGTTTGCGTTAAGCCATATATCAGTGAGTCGTATTTGCCCACGCTAAGTCTGCTGTGATTGGTTGTTGAATCAGTCTTGTTCATATTTTCTCATGGCCAATAATTAGCGACATAGGCATTGACGTAAATTAATGTCTACCAATTGGCTAGCAGCCTGCTCTCACCACAACTATACATGGCACAGGTTAATTAAATTCTTTGCTTTTCTTTTTCCCCCAAACTAATAATAATCCTATACATCATCAACAAGGATGAAAATATCAGTGAAGAGTTTAAAAAGCAGACAAGTCAAAATTCTAGTCTTATCGCGGTAAATTTAAATTCATCATGTCGTATACCGCCGCCGTCACTGCGGCCGACATTGTCCCCGTCACCATCATCATCATCATCTTCAGTGTCGCCGTCATTACCACCGTCGTCGATGTTGTGGAAACATTCTTCTCAGTCTTCTCACTCGTCTTCATCTGAATCGACTAGTGATGATCGTGAAAGGAATACTAATGATAATATTACTAATAGTAATTCCACTGAACGAACCGATACCACGGTTACCAGTTACTACAGTACAACAACATCAACACCAGCAACTGCAACAAGTCAAGCAAATGTATACTTCAAGTGTGGTAGTGCAACAACAAGTTGTTCTGATGAATTTCAACCGAAGTTAATAACCAATCATAACAATAATAATGAGAATTTGGATGGTGCTAATGTTGATAATGGCAATAAAAGCGAGAGTGGTCGGCATAAAATGATAAATACTCACAGTAGTACTTCTGCTACTACAGCGAAACATCATAATCATGCTAAAGGAAGGCAAATGTATGTTATGCGACACGCTGAACGTGTAGACATGAGTTTTGGTCATGCATGGGTTACTCAGTGTTTTGATCATAAAGGTAGGTCTCTTAAGTGTGTGTTATTATACAATTATTGATTATTAATATTATTATTATGATTATTATGAATAATGTATTATAATAATTGTATTGGCAGAGTTAAAAAGTAATCGATAGGGAGCAGTGGACGTACGTAGGTTTCGTGCTTGCTGGCGCTTATCAGTAAGACGTATCTACAATCTTCAAGGAAGTCATTCGACTTATAAGATTCGAATACAGGGTGTCTAGCGCTGCAGTCTGTGACATTACCACTGAGATATCCGAACTCACTCGTGATCAACCTCCTGTAACACTGTAATGGATAGTTTGGTGGTTGAACTGTATGTATAAGTAAATAGTGCCGTGCATCTGTCGACCATTTGTCCGATTCATACTGAGTCCTATTCGCTAGATTTGCAATGTGGCAACCATGCTAGGCGGCTGGCCATCAGGCGTGACATTAGTAACTATCTAGTGTCCAAACAAAAGTATCCATTATATTCCTACAGAAGGCCGATTGCGAGCTCGACTTCGTCGTCCTATAGTTCACCTTTCATTAACCAGACCGGATAGTATTCAGCTACGCATTTACGAAAAACATGCTTACAACATCCAATGTAGTCAGCTCCATAGGAGCATGTGAATGAGTATATAGACATAGAGGTGGACATAAGCGGTAGTTTGTCCTTGACGCATTGTCGAATCACATTCTGGCTGGTAAATACTAGATGCAAGTCAGCTGCATAAAAACACCGTTCAATACATTTAGATGAACGACTTTTGATTACTTCAGTGATAGTGTCACATTTGAACGCCAAGCTCATAACCAGCGTCCTATTTATTACTATGATTCGACTGTGGACTGTTTCCTTCTGGTTGTTTCTGTCAGGATACTCGTTACTTAAGTTGGTTGTGGGAAGGTTTTCTAGTTCTATGTCGATCGTATCCATAGAGCAGATTTTCCGAATTCCTGGAGCATAGAGAGCGGATAAGATTTCTCCGCCTGCCTAGCGGCGTACCCAACTGTTGAAGTTCATGTACTACCCTGTGAATGTGTTGTCTTTCGGTAGTAAATCGCCTTTTTTTTAACGTGCCATCCTCTCTCATCTGTCTAACATCTAAGAAGTGAAATACAGAACTGGACTCTTCTTCGATAGTGAAAAGCATATAGATGGGTGAGAACTATTACATTTTCCAAGAAGCTTGGCAGTTAAATAGTTATCATCACAAATAATAGACATGTCATCCATATATACCTTATATATATGCAGACTCGAGATAGTTTCTTTCAATGGACTATTCTCTAAGCTTGTCAATGAAGACAACCGCTAGGAGAAGTTCTAATGGACACTCTTTGGCGAACATCTTAATACCAATTCATCACTTATTTAATAATGTTAAAAAGTTTTGTAATTCATCCACCTCAGCTATGCTCTGTTAAAACATCATTTAATTATCTTTATTCTTATCATATGTGCACTTTTGACAGAATGCCTTTTTCCGTAATATATAAATACTACTGTACCGAACAAAAAAGTTAAGTGAAGAGTCGCTTTTCGGTGGCGAATTCATTCACTTAGCTGTACAATGGCATTTATGTATTATTATTAGGATTGTGAAACCAAAAAAATTGAATAAAAATTAGTTAGGTTATTATTGTTTACGTCATCAAAATATTTCAAAAATGTGAGGAATAATCAGATTTTAACTATAGGACGAAGATTGGTCGGTACTTTTGACAAGGAGATTACGTAATGTGAATGACGCCCAGAAAAAGTAGCATATTAGTGAAAGAGCATAGAGACAGCTGTCCAGAATAAATGATGTAATACGTGGTGAAAAGAGTAAATAAAGAGTTGTTTAAGAAAAAGATGTTACTAAAAAGTCATACAAAAATTCAAAATAGCATTATTAACAAAGTAGTTTAAATTTAAAGCAAGTATTATTATTATTATTTTCATTACAGCTTGATTCCACACTTTATTTTTGGTACAAGTATGGAATTTTCAGCATGTAATATCGGTAGCCCAAATTTTGCAGACCGATCATAGATACCAGGTGTGAGTCGGCAGGGGATTGAACCTCGGACCATGTGCATGGTCGGCGATAGTCCTAACCAACTGTGCCACCGACGCCCAGTTCCCTTTATGAATTTAGATAAAGCAATATGAAAACGTAATTTGTCATACGATTAAGGTGCCTCTTCAGTGGAATCTAACGAGTATGTACTGAAGACACACTTGATGAAGAAGAAAGAAAGAAAGTTGACACAAACTGTGGTTGATAACAATTATCCAGACTAGTTCATCAGGAGATATAAAGTAGTCAATGGAAGACCGAAACCCACTCTCCAACTCGCTCCTAAGAAAGACGTGTACACCAAGCTACCCTATATGGGGCATCAAAGCAGCTTGATAACTAGACAAAGACTGAACGCTGCTGTTAAACAGGACTTTTTATGCAGCTAGTGTTAAAATAATAATAGAGAATGTAAAGCCAATATATCTATCTTAGCCCTTCGAACATGCGAAAAATGACGTCAGATCGCACTGTATTTACCAATTTGAATATACGTGTGGACACACATACATAGGTAGGACTCATCGATCTCTGCAAGTAAGGGCTAGCTTCAGAGCATATTTCTAAATGGCTCCAGAAACAAATGGAATCTTCAGAACCCATTAACGGTGAGAACAGGAGACCTAGCTCTTCTATTGTGAAACATATTATAGAGACAGGACATAAAATTGATGTGAACAGATCTTTTAAACCTATCTATGAGACGTTTTTGGGGCGTATCCTAGATAGTTTAAGCAACCTGTATTCGTTCAAAGTAACAATTCGTCATCACATTAAACCTTCCTTGGTAAATTTTATTTTGATACCATAGCAGATGTACTATTTATTACCTCTGCTATTTTGGTTTAGTTGTCTTCATTGTTATTTTGACCTTGAGTATGTCCTTTTAACTTGACCTAAGCCTATTTAATTTTCTCACCTCTTACCCCTTTATTAATTTCATATATATTCTCATGACAAGTCAGTGTGTGATCAGATTGTTCGAAATGTGTTGCGCAAATATAACACAACACGATTCAGACAAATTACGTCTTCTTATTGCTTTATCTAAAGTAGTCTAAGTCCAGAGCAGTAGGAGGGAGTGGAGAAGTTTCTTCTGTGTAGATGAGTCAAGGTTTTCCATCCGGATTGCTAAGGCCTCGGCAATGTAAAGTATGCAGAAGCTTACCGTTTTGTTTTCAACGGGAGGCTTCTTTTGACTGTGTAGATGACTTAGATTGAATTCTCATCACATACTACTGAGTGACCAGTGTTCAGTGTATGTTCTGTTATAGCACTCTTTATTGATCCACTGTTACTTTTTCTTAGCCAAGCGGGATAATGTTGTGGTCAAATGAGATAGTTTATCTTTCAAGTTGTTGAGGAACAGTTGGGCAGCTTGAGAATACCAATCCTATTGTAGCGGCAGAGAATGTTCTTTTTAGGACTCTAGATATCCTCCTCTTAAGGGTGTTGGCGAGAAGGTCGCTTTTGAACGCCACATTCATGGCACAGAGATGGGTTGTTGTTTGTTGTTTTTCAGCTTTACGTGTTTAGCTGTAGTGCGTGATGGATAGGCATTTTCAAGTAGTGTCTTCCTCAAAAGAGTGATCTCTTGTTCTTTTGATGATTCGGGGCTGCATATTCATTCTACGGATTCTAGTCGCTAAAGATATTATCAGGTTCCGTTTGTGATTGATGGTTACCCACCTAACTAAAAGTTCGTCAGTCGGCCGTTCTACATAGCCTTTCGATATATTGATCTCTTCAGAGTCCTATGAGTCTTCGTTGTTGACCGAGTATTCAGAATACGGAGTTTCTCTCCGGTCTCTGCTTCAATTGTAAGTTTTGATGACTGGATTGCAGCTATTGAAAACCTGAAGGGCATTATTTATGTCACATTTCTTAACACAGATGATAAAAGTGTGTCATCAACGTATCTGTTGTACAGACAGAAGTTGTCGATTATCGGTTGTAACGGGCCATTTTCAAAACTTGCCATGGAAGAATATCTGCAAGTAACGGGCCTTTATAATACACACCAAGATGGGGTGGCTGTGGGTTCACCTGTGTGTAGCTACACCTTCACCTCCATTGTTTTTTAAATTATTTTAAATTGAGAAATATCGTATGAGTCTCTTAATTGTTATTATTATTATTCTTATATCATGTAGGAGTTTATCGTAGATACAATTTAAATCTTCCACCATGGTTACCAAGTAGATCAGATTGCTTAGAGTATATTTTGGACTCACCAATTACTCAGGTTGGATTATTTGTATCAGCTGAAACTGGTCGAGCACTGGCAGATGCTGGAGTTCAATTTACTGCGTGTTATTGTTCACCAGCTTTTCGATGTGTTCAAACTGCATGTGAATTATTACGAGCAATGGGCCGAGTAAGTGCATAACTGAATTACTTAAAATTGTATGTTTGTATTCATTTCCCAGTACAATATTATCTGCCTCATCAGTGAAACTATATTATGTATTTTGTTGACAAAAGCTACGTCGTACGGCTGAGGGTGGGCAGACTTTTGTCTTTCCATAGAAATGCTCCAGGTTCGTGGCAACTGCCTTAGTGCGGTGGGGATGTTCTGTAGAAAAGTAAAAAGATGAATGGGAACGTCTGGCAGACATTCAAGTTTACCCAGGGAAGCTAGGATACCTGGATTTCAAACCTGTGATGTGCATGGGCTCCAGAATCTGAAGGAACTAAATGGCACGTGGACTTGTTTTGGTCACTGGCAACCGTGGGAATGCAGCTTCCGATTCTTCTCTACTGCCTTTTTGGATCAGATTCAAGTCTAAGACTTGGGGGGAAATGGCACTCTAAGATAACCAAGTGCTCTGGTCTGGACGTCCGGGTAGTATCCTAGCCCTTGCACAAACTATGAGATTTCGTGTGTCGTATCCTTTGGTGTCCATAATGTACTAAAATGTATCTTAATTTGAATAGTAAGCCCTCAAAGTAAGTCTCATTTATGGATTCAAAGACGAGAATATGACTGGCATGTGAAGTATTTTAGAGAGAAGATACAGTGGATAAAGTTAAACTAACATAGCTGTAAGTAATCAGTATTTAGATAGGAAAAAATGGCATAATCCTTAAAAAAGTGTACTGATAAACATTAAAAACATGATTTTACATTGGGTTAACTGTCTCTGGTGTTTTTAGAATGTATCCTAGTGACTCCAGGGAGAAATCATACTATCTGCGATAGATATATTCATCCAGATGACTGGATCATGGTACTTTGAGGTCGATTGATATTCCTGTCACTTCTTTAACCTACTCTTAACCCTAACCTTAGTCCTAAACACCCTAACTCTAACCCTCCATAAGAGTATAGATTTACAGGTAAAAATACCCAAGGATTAAGTAGAATACTGTACCTACCGTCATGAAATCCAAAGAGGCAGGCTAGATTTGATTTGAAATGACGTACCTTGGGGCTTCTTAAATCTAATTGGTTGTTGAAAGCCAACTTTTGATAAACTTCCACTTTGGCTGTGATATGGGTCATCAACAACAGATCTTTTCCTAACTGAAACGTCACAGTCAACATTTAACACTTGACAGCTATACTGAATGAATGTATTTATGTTTTAAATGTCCTTAACAAACACTAAATTCACTAGTGATTTTAAGGAATTAACAACCAATGAATGTCTATATCTATCACACAGAGTGGGAAATTCAAAATGGACCATAAGTGTACGAAAATGGTAATATTTTATAGTTATTTTAGAGTTACGTAGTGTAGATCTGTTTCCCGAGAAATCCGCAGCGTAAAATCGAAACACAGTACTATATGATGCATAAATTGATGACATATATATGATGTCGGAACCTCGAATTGTGACGTGTCAATGTCTGAATGCCATCAATTGTACAGTTGCTGTGCCTCGATAAGAAAGACATCAAAGCTGCTGTCGAAGGTGATCTATGGTCAGATTAAACAGAGCGCGATTACTAAACAAGAAACACTGTTTAGTAACTAGGTTATTGTGTCTAGTCTTTTGTTTGGTGCAGACTGAATTCTATCGTCAGTCAAGTTTGCAGTGTGGCCACAATGTCACTAGGTGGCTCGGCATCACAGTGCACTTTGAATTATTGATGTTAGATGGTTAGAGGCAATTGCGGCAGGAAGCCTTGCTTGGACCTAGGTTTCGTGGTGCTGGTTACCATTCACCAGTCAACAAGAAGGTGTATCTGCAACTAACTACCTTGACGGAACACATGTTCCTTCTGAGATTCTAACTCGTGTCACTCAGTGCTGCAATCAGAGGTGTTACCGGTGAGCTAGCTGTTCAGGCTCTCGATTGACCTCCTGTAGGACTCTGTATTAGATACTTTTGTGTGGACACTATTTGGTAACCAGTGTACTGCCTCAGATTGTGCTTTCATGGTGGACAACGAGGCGATTTACGAGATATGCCGTCGAAATCTGACCATTGATCGCCCATCATACACGAACTTGAATCGTCTGATTGGCCAAGTGGTGAGCTCGATAACAGCTTCACTTCGATTCAGTGGCGCGTTGAATGTGGATTTGAACGAGTTCCAGACGAACCTTGTACCTTATCCACGCATTCATTTCCCGTTGACGACATATGCACCGGTCATCTCAGCTGAGAAGGCATTCCACGAGCAGCTGAGTGTCTCAGAGATCACGAACTCGTGCTTTGAGCCAGTGAATCAGATGGTGAAGTGTGATCCACGGAATGAGAAGTATATGTCGTGTTGCTTGTTGTATCGTGGTGACGTTGTTCCGAAGGATGTGAATTCAGCGATAGCGAGTATCAAGACCCACCCCTCCGCACACCTCCTGAAATGCTCCCATATGACCGGGCGTCTTACATAGCCTCTCCTGAGGAAGTCCTACTCACTGCCTTCACGTGGCGGAGGTGTTTCTCACCAAAGTGAGAGGGCGAAAGCGGATGCCCGGCGCTCTCCACCGGGTTGACTGTCCATTGGATGACAGTCTAGGGGAGATGGCTAAACCCTGATTCCAAACCTCCAACGACTGGCGTATGAAGCTCACTGGAGCTCACCGGCAGACGTATGGACAAAGGGCTTGTTGGATGTCCTGGATGTCTGGCCCCATTCAAAAAGGCGTATGAACCGAACTCCGGTCACCGGCTGCCAATGGATAGTGGACTCCTTACTCCACTCCTACTGCCTTGTAGGTCACACTTGGCTGTGTAAAGGCTAGAGCTGCACTCTCAAGCAAAAGGCCGAGCGATGCTGGGGACATCACTCGTACCAAATTCCCATGAAACTTCATGAACTTTCTTACAAATTGCCGCGCCTGGGCAGCGATGATTCGAGACGTTCATGAAGCCGGCTCATCCTCCCGTAGGAGATAGCCGAAGTAAAGTAAAGTAAGTAAGTACTGCCTCAAGTCCTTTGTTTGGTGCAGTCCTGCTGTGGAGGTTAATCGCGAAACCGAATTGCTAGCTCGGTGGTAGCACCTCTAAATGCAGCACTGGGTGACATGGTTCGAATCTCAGGAGGGATATGTGTTCCGTCAAGATAGTTAGTTGCAGATACACCTGCTTGCTGACTGGTGAATGGCAATGCGTCGGTGGCACAGTGGTTAAGACTCTCGCCGATCATGCGAATGTTCCGGGTTCGATCCGTTACCGAAGAACACCTGATATCTATCGTCGGCCTGCAAAATCTGGGCTACCGAAAATTCCATACCTCTACCGAAAGTACGATGTGGAGTCAAGCTGTAATAAAAAAAAACTAGCACGAAACCTGGGTCCAAGCAAGCCTTCTTGCCCATCGCCTCAAACCATCTAATACCAACAAAGTGATTCGAATCAACATTGTTCAACACAGAAGGTTGTGTAAATGAAACAAATACAGAAGATAATGTTTAACTTTAACTGTATCGAATAAAGTATTAATATATTGAAAGAGTTGGACTTCAATAGGGGACAACAATCATAGTTATAGAGTGAGAAATTGCGAAGCTAAAACTACTTACTACTAATAAGTAGGTAAAGTTTAAGACAAGAAAAAATAAGTAAGGATAGAGGAAGAAAGTTGAATTTGACTCAGTGTTCCATTTCGTCGATGTTCAACTGTAAAGAAGTGCTCATAAATTTGTTGGGAAAACATCCATATACAAGAAGGCCATATGGAACGGACAGTTGATCAACTTTCAGAGTTGTGTTTCCTTAAGCATAGGGAGGGAGAGAGAAACCACATATACACTCTTTTCTTTAGGATCCGAGGAATCAATTGGCAAAGAATAGCAAAATCTTCAAGGAATGTTAATTAGAAAGTTGTCCTCCACCCAGATTCATAGACAATAATCTAAAACCAGGGGAAATGTTTTGAAAAGGTCCGTCACCTCCGCCCCCCCCCAAATACGTTGGTGCGTGATCCTGAATTTAAAAGTGCTACTCAATCAGAACTTCTCCGTAATTGGCTTTCGGAATCTCTCAGTAAAACGTATTTCGACGCCAGCTTACGAGTGACATTTTCTTGCAAGAAACTATTCAGCTAACATGTGAAAGACCAAGCTGTTGCATATAGCCACTTCAGCATGCATACACGAGTCCACTTGCTGCTCTTGTGGAGCCCGAGTACATTGACCGTACCATGCTTCCACTTGTGAAACGCTCTCAGGAACATTATCCAGCATGATTAGCAAACAGTGAACACAAGTGTGTATATAGTTCGGTAACAGAACATCTGGTGAATTCTAGACTTTCAACTCCATTTTATTGAAAGTCCTTCAAAATCAAATACAAGATGCGATCAGACTTCTCAAAGGGATAAGAATCATGGAATCGGTGATCCAAAGGTTCAAGCCCACGGTGTTCATTTAAAAGAAGTACATCCAACCGTTGTCTCTAGCAAAGCCATCATAAAAAGTCAACTCCCACTGTAGTGATTATCCCGTTGTAACAACAGAAGCCAAGGGCCGGCAACAGATCCTTTTATTACGGAAATCAACACGTATTTATATTTATTTCCTGTACATTATTATAGCTTGTTCAAGTAGACGAACGCAGTCTTCTGATTGGTTGTTTCTCGGAAGTTATGCAGACAAACGCAGACTTCTGATTGGTTGTTTCGGGTAACATCGAAAATTGAAGCCATCTATCTGCAAATTATATTTGCCCATGTTAAGTTTGCTGTGATTAGTTGTTAAATCAGCCTTGTTCATATTTTCTCACGGCCAATATTAGTGACCTAGACATTGACGTAGATTAATGTCTACTAATTGGCTAGCAGCCTGCTTTCACCACACTGTTACCTTTTATTCTGTTATTCTTACGTCTTTTTAATTCTTACCTACATTACTACGTTTTCTATCCAAACTCCCTGCCTGTTCTGTTATTAGTTTACATTTGTAATCCCTAACTGCACAGAAATTCAATTTTTTCGGCATTTACGATCCTGCTATGGTTTTTTATCCTATCTTCACGTGGGGGATTGATTCGCGATGAGCAGGTTGGGTTGGGACACCGCCACACGTATTGCAGACCAACGATCGTTGTGTTTCTTAATGTTAGGACCGCCTTCGATTCGTTGGACAGAACTGTGCTCTGGAACTATCTGTCTAAGTGCGAAGTACTGTTACAAGATTGCTGGCAGGAGCCTGTACCTGCACTCACTCTTGCGGGTGAACCGCTTGAAGTTGTTGATAAGCTTGTGTATCTGGGTAGTTGTGTGAGTGCTGGCGGAGGGGTGACGGATGAGATTTCCAACCGTATAACGAAGGCTAGGGTGGCATACGTCAACTTAAGCCACCTATGGTGCCGTCGCGATGTTAGCCTGACTGTCAAAGGTGGGGTATACAATGCTTCGGTGCGGCGGGCTGTCTTGCTCTACGCCAGGTCTGTGAAACCTGGCCTCTCCGAGTAGGCTGAGGATGTTCGGCGACTCTGCGTGTTCGATCATCGCTATCTCCGCAGGACTGCTTGCGTTCGGTGGTATCATCGCGTGAGTAATTCTGAGGTTCGGTGGCGTGTGTTTGAACACAGTGGAGATCACTGTTCTCATTGAGTGTCGTCATCTGGAAACACCGGCTCCGGTGGCTTGGACATGTGGTACAAATGTCATCCCAGAGGCTTCCGTACAGGTCTCTGTTCGCTAGCCAGCCCTGGGACCGGATGAAAAAGGCGAAGGGGGGTGGTCAGTCCATGAAGTGGCGTCGTGGGATGAAGGCGTTTTTGTGCTAGATTAGCATCAGTTGATGTGTGTGACGACTCCCTGGTTGGGGTCCGCGAGATAGCTCGAGTCGATGGCTCGAAACGTTATCGGATATGGCCAAGAATCGTAATCAATGGTGAACGTGTTGCAATTTCCTTCTTTCTTCCTTTCCCGATGATAGTTAACGAATACTGTTTGAACTTGTTAAGCATGACTGTTTTTCTTCGAGATGAAGTTCTTTATCTGTTCTCTACTTATATTTTTTTCTTATTTTGATCTATGTTGTTTTATTATTATTGTGTGGCGCATCTTTCTTGGCGCAAAGTTGTACGAAGTTTTTCTGCGTTTAAATAAAATAAATAATCTTTTTAATTTCACCCTCGATAGGAAATAGTCGTGGAACTTCCTCATCCGTTTACTATAAATATACACGAATGTACTGCTGGCTGACTGACTGGCTGATCTAGTTGATGATTTCGTCGGAAAGAAAGCTTTCTTCTCTCCAATAATCTATCTTATGATGTAATGTGTATATTTCACAAGTTTTGTTGATTTTGTTTTCTCTGTCTATCTATAGTTTCATTTTCTCTTGTAACAACAGAAGACAAGGGCCGGCAACAGGTCCTTTTATTACGGAAATCAGCATATATATATATATATATATATATATATATATATATATATATATCATGTACATTATTATGGCTTATTCAAGCACCACAGTCTTCTGATTGGTTGTTTCTGGTTTCACGGAAAGTTAAGCCATATCTCTGAGAATCTTATTTGTCCACGTTAAGTCTGCTGTGATTGGTTGTTGAATCAGCCTTGTTCATATTTTCCAACATTAGAACAACATTAGTAACCTAGACATTGACGTAGATTAATGTCTACCAATTGGCTAGCAGCCTGCTCTCACCATACACACTCTCCCTCTCTCTCTCTTTCTCTGTGATTTTCAGTTTGATTTACCTGTTCGTATAGAACCACATCTGTTTGAATGGTATGGTTGGTATGCTGGTAATCGTTTACCGAAACTGATGACTCCTAATCAACTGAAACAAGCTGGTTATAATGTGGATATAAATTATAAACCATTGAGTGTATTCACTGAAAAAGATTTTAATGAATCTATACAAGGCTATTGTGATCGTACTGGTCTACTAATTAAACGTATATTAAATATTCATAAATCTAAAGGTGAGTGCGAGAAAGCAGACATTGAATAATGAATGCGATAACGTTGCTTTTGATTGTTATAATTATAGAATGTGTAACCGTTTGGTAATGTTAGTGTTGTTTTATGCTATTTTTACTCTGTGGTCTTATAGCCAATGTGTCCCGTGTTCGAGTCCCCTCCCCCCTCAATATACCTCAGCTGGATAACTGGCTAGTATCACCAGTCCTTACACAATAATAACTATGGCTCATAGTCGGTTACATTGTGTTCAAAGATCTGGGAATTATTGCTGAGGTGGGAACAAGGGAGAAACGGGGAAAGAGAATAAAAGGGATTCAGAAGAAGGATAATAGGTAAAATTATGTAGGAGACAGAAAGAGTAGTAAGATGGAAAAACAATAGAGTTTTATAGCAGATGACAAAGAGTAAATACATATTCCCCGGCTATTAACAAGGATTTTTGATCATATCACAAAATGTCTTCACAGTCACTCACTCTTAGTATCCCGAGGACACTTGAACTAGGTAGGAAGCCTACACACCTGTCTGTCTACATGACGGACTGAAACCAACTGTTGAAGATTTTATTGAATGATTGCATATTTTGATTTGACGACGACTACCTGTTTTTCAACCTGATCCTATCCGGTATCACAGTTAAGAGTGTGTTCGTCGAGGAAGGCGAAGATGTTTAGACATCTGAATCTATGTAGGTAGCTTTACAACTTTTTCATGGATTGACTTCCCCTCCTTACCTGACTGACTAACACTGGACGCCTGGCTGGCTGGTTAACTTCTCTGTCTCTCTCTGTGTGTGGATTCAACATAGAACTTGTCACCGAAGTGCAGCAGTTCGACTTGCCACGTTCCAAATAGCACACAAGAGTAGACAAGAAGATGAGTGAAGAGAACCAATAGAGTTTGACAAGTATAAGAGTGAAACAGAGTGGGTAATGGTAGAAAGGAATATGAAAGAGTACAGAGACTGAATACATCTGAGCTGGCCATTGACAACGATTTTGAGCCATATCACCTATTGTCTCCAGCCATTGGTTCCTAGAATCCCGAGGGCCCCAACCCGGAAGTCTGCATCTCCCTACCTGACTTAGTTTAACTGTCAAGGATTTCATGGATTGATGAGGCCATGTTTTTGTTTGGCCACCACTTACTCTTTTCCAACCTGCTACCTATATCAGTTAGTAATTCCCGTCGGGGGAGGCGATGGTTAGGCATGCGCAGCACGTGACCTAGCCATCGATTGATTTTCCCTGTTCGCCCAACACTCTACGCCTAACGTCAACATTACTTACCTTATTATACCACTATCTAACGTGAGGAAGAGATCGTAGACATCTATGATCGAAAGCAGTCATCCTTTTCATGTCTTCAGCTCGTATTGGCCATGTTTCAGAGCCATAGAGAAGGACGGAACGAACTGCTGAGCAGTACACACGTGTCCCTTGGTTGAAGGCGGATGGATGTCACGCCTACGCCAGAGATGGTGTAAGCTAGCGAAAGCAGCTCGAGCTTTTTGGATCTGTGCTGAGATTTCGTCGCCAATCATCAGTCCGTTGGTGCAGATACAACTTCCCAAATAGGTGAAGTGGTGGTCAACATGTTCTGTCACTTCACTCCCTATCACTAAGCTAGGAGTTGACGTAGTCCAGTCCTGTAGCAGCATCTTACATTTTACAACAGGGGCGAATCGCATGCCAAACATACGAAGATTGCTGCTCAAGGTGTTCAGAAGACTCTGCTGGATTTTGTCAGCATCCTCCTCTAACAGGACTATGTCATCTGCATATTCTAAGTCGATAAGACTAATACCTGGTAACAAGTCGATTCCTAAGTCGTTACGTTCAGTTAAGCATACACTTTCATTAGCATATCTGTGATGAAGTTAAACAGGAATGGGGAAAGTGGACATCCCTGTCGGACACCACCACTGGTTGTTCTAAAGTCTTAGGCTCAATAATCATGCGTAAACTGAGTGGTGCTCGGGAAGCACAAACACGAGAGAGCCAGGCAGGCTTTAGACCAGGAAGAGGGTGTATTGATCATATCTTCACCCTCCGACAGATTCTAGAACATAGGAATTCCTACCGGCGTCCAACAGTCATTATATTTCTTGACCTAAAGGCAGCATTCGACTCTGTCGATCGGGAAGTTCTCTGGAGATGCTTGGCTGTAAAGGGAATTCCAAGAAAATATATTGCACTGATTAAGGCACTCTATTCGTACTCATACAGCCAGGTGAGGGCTTACGGCGAGCTGTCATCTGAACTGATGACGACCAGTGGTGTCCGTCAAGGATGTCCATTATCTCCTTTTCTATTCAACTTCATCATAGATGTGTTAATGGACTTAACCCTAAGTGACTTCAGCGATTCAGGGATTGACTTGCTACCTGGGAATAATCTCGTTGACTTGGAATATGCAGACGATATAGTCCTTCTAGGCGAAGACGCTGACAAAATGCAGAGTCTTCTAAACACCTTGAGCCGCAATCTAGGAATGTTTGGAATGCGATTCGCTCCCACCAAATGCAAAATGATTTTACTGGACTGGACTACACTGACCCCTAGTTTAGAAATAGGAAGTGAAGTGGTAGAGCACGTTGACCGCTTCACTTATTTGGGAAGTTGCATCAGCCCCAACATGTTGATCTCTGACGAAATCTCAGCACGAATACAAGGGGCTCGTTTCGCATTTGTTAGTTTACGCCGACTCTGGCGTAGACGAGATGTTCGACTATCGACCAAAGGGCGGGTGTACTGCTCATCAGTCCACTCTGTCCTCCTCTATGTGTGTGAGACCTGGCCACTGAGAGTGGAAGACATGAAAAGACTAGCTGTGTTTGATCATAGGTGTCTGCGCTCTATTTCCCGTGTAAAGTGGCATAATAAGGTGAGCAACATTGAGGTTAGGCGTCGAGTCCTAGGTAAACAGGGGAAATCAATCGACGAAGTCGTGAAGCTACATCGACTGAGATGGTTAGGACATGTGTTACGTATGCCAAGTCATCGCCTCCCTCGACGAGCTATGTTAGCGGATATAGGGTCAGGCTGGAAAAAAGCTAGCGGCGGTCAAACAAAAACTTGGCATCAGTCAATGAAATCCACAACAGTTGGTCTTAGCCACGTAGGAAGGTGTAGACTTCCAGGCTGGGGTCCTCGGGACGGCAAAAATCTATGGTTGGAAACAATTGGTGACATGGCTCAAAATCGTTCTCAGTGGCGCAGATGCATCCACTCCTTGTGACATATGATCTCCAATGAAACTGTTTTGTTTTTCTTTATTACTCCTTTGTCTCACACCTCTGCTCACTGTTTCTATTATGCTTTTCTTGTACTTTCTTCTCTTGCTTCGCGTGCTACACGGAATGTGGCGACTTGAACTTCCGCACATTTGTGCAAAGTTCTATGTCGAAAACAGACAGACAGACCACTGGTTGTTATCAATTCAGATGACAATTCCCCATAAGCCCTTACACGACTACGTGACTAACTTGAATATTACTCTAGTTTATAGCATATACCATCTGATAAAATTTAATATATACATATAATTTATGATACTATCTATTTTTGCTTTTGCTTTCCTTTTCTTTTCAATTCAATAAATCCTTTCAGATACCTGTATATTGATTGTTGGTCATGCTTGTTCCCTGGACACATGTACACGTCATTTAGTGAATCATACTTTTCGACATCATATCTCTTCAGATGAATTCCAACATCGTACGTCGATTGTACCGTATTGTGGTCTACTATTGGCTCAAGAGAATCGTCGATGGAATCTTGTTGAAGCGCCTATCCCGAATGCTTGTTCATATGGAAGAAATTCTGATTATGATTGGAAAGAGTTGCTTGGATCAACGCTGTGTAATTTTAAGATTAAATAAGAGAATTAGAATAGTGATAGCGGAAGTGAAATTGAGATGTTGGTGGCCTTCGTGGTTGAGGTGGTGGGAATAAACTCTCGTGGCAGTCTTACTATTACTATTTTTTTCCGTTTTGTTATTTTGCATTTATATATGTGTATAATATTTTCGATTGATTTTCTAAAGACAACAGAGAAAACGCGCAACAAATGTATAAAATTTCAGCCAGTCAATCAATCAGTCACTCGTATTTTCCTCCGTATTCATACTATTTATATTATTATTATTGTCACTACTACTACTATTACTATTGTTATTGCTACTATTATTATTATCATCATCATCGATCGGTATACTATATCACTCACTCTTCACATATCCTACAAAGGCGCCTTCATCAGAGTTGTTTTTGACAGAAATAGATATATATATAGTATCCTACCTTAATCAGGTACTTGGTTTTGTTTTGTTTCTTTTTTTGTTTCGCGTTTGTTTCCACTGTTTGAGATCGTTGACTAGTACTGACGCCTGAGCAGACATGAAATCATTTGTTACTATTATTATCATCACAGAAGAGGAGTGAAGTGCAGTGCAATGCAGTGGAGTGGAGTGGAGTGTATATTCAATTTATTTTTTATGTAAATATATACATGTTATTTATTGAAGTGTTATTTCTTGTTTTGTTTTTGAAGCTTGTTAGTATTCAATGAATGAATGAAGGAATGTGACTGACTGACTGGGTGGTTGGCTGTGTGAAGTTGAAGGCTTAGTCTGTGTTATGTACTGCTGCTGAGAGGTTAATCGTAGTGTTCCCCGTCGCCAGTTATGTTATGTACTCGTCGAGTAGTTCAATAGTCCTGACGCGGAAAGAGGGAAATCAGAAGATCACTAGGTTTGCGATGATACTTGTATTTTCCAGACAAGGAAAATAAATGTCACACCGGTGTGTGAGTGGAAGGGTACTTAATTTACGAAATGTGTGTGAACCAGAATAATGTACAAGTGTCTAATACAAAAGTATATATGAAAATGGCTAATAAACATGAACCAATAAGATAACGTCTTACCATGATTGGTTGTAATGTCATATGACAACAAGGTCATACATGTTTATTTAGTTAGTGAACAGCCAAAGCATATTGTCAGTTATAATGGAATACCGATCCATATACACATAGCAAAATATAATAGACTGTCAAAAACAAAACACACATCATGTGGATACATATCACCTCCCCTTTTGAGAAGATTGATCATTAGTAGCGTGTTTTATCTGGAACCGTTGAGCTTGTTGTTGACGTCTGTCGCTTCGTCTGCCTGTTGGGTTCGCGGCTTCGACTTCGTCCGGAATTGTCTGACATTTTATGTTTCTTGGCTGCATTGCATAGAGAATTTAGTGGGACATCAGCCAGATGCAAACGATCGAACCAATCAAGTCCTAAAAGATTTAAATCACCCTTGGTGACGTAGCAAATTCTTGTGAATTTAATGTTACGGAATGAAACGGAACATTTGAGTTCACCAATTAGTTTGAGCCGCCCACCACAGGCGCTGACAGCAGTCTGAGAAGTATTTGCGATTGGTGGTCTGCCAATAGTATTCAAAAGTTTCTCTGATATAACAGTAATATCAGAGGCGGTATCTAGCTGCAGACGTGCATCATGACCATTCATCTGAAGATCAAGATATTTCCGCATACCTGGTGTTGTGACTTGACAGGTTGCGAATAGACTCATTGACTTTTTGGGGATTTAGGACCAACAGTTGGTCGAGCTTTCGCTGGATTATGGTATCTCGGTTTGCGTGGCTGGCAAAATCCATTTTTATGACCAATGATTTTGCACTTGCTGCAACGATGATTTTTGTATGGACAAGACTTTACAAAGTGCCACGCGCCACAATGCCAGCATGGTGATGGTGGGGTCTTCTTTGCAGTATTTTGTGAAGTTGGACGAGTATGTGTAGATTTCCGCGGAACATTAGGAGAAGGTGGGTCAGGAGTGGATGATGAGAGATTTTTGCTCTTTCGTAATGCATGAATATCAGAGCTTCTCGAAGGTGTTGATTCGACCAGGTGTGTGTCTTTCTGCAAATTAATCAGCCGTTGATATTCATCAGCTATGTCATGTAATGTTAACTTAGGATTTTGTTCTAGCTGATTGAGCAGTTGAGTTCGGATATCTGTGAAACGAGGAGATTGAAGACTGCATATGAGAATCAAGGCTTTGAATTGATCATCTGTTAAGGACCTGAGTCGAAATCTCTCACATTCTCGGTTGACTGTGCCAACGTGAGTAAGAAAATCATCATTTTCATTCATTGTCAGCTTGAGGAAACGATAACGTATGCTGAATAATGAGGAGTGGTCTCCAAAATGTTCACGCAGCAGCTTTATTGTATCATCGAAACACTTGTCACGTGGTTTCTGTGGTAAAATTAGGTTGCAGTACCGTTCATATTCTGCGGGACCCAATTTACGTAACAACACTCGCACCTTCCAGGCATCGTCTTGTGAGGCGAGATCAACAGTGAATAAATCCTCATATCGTTGATACCATGTGTCAAAAGTGACATTCGCATCTGGATTATAATTGAACTGTGAAATACTGTTCACAATGCCGTCGACAGATGGTAGCATGGTATGATTGGGATTGCTTGAAGGTGAAGCTGGACCAGTCTGTTGGTTGACGAACATTTCCATTAATTTCATTTGTCGTTCAAATAGTAATTCCAATTTAGAAGGATCCATAGTTTTCCCCGTCGCCAAATTATTGCTCTGTACTCGTCGAGAATTCAATAGTCCTGACGCGGAAAGAGGGAAATCAGAAGACCACTAGGTTTGCGATGATACTTGTATTTTCCAGACAAGGAAAATAAATGTCACACCGGTGTGTGAGTGGAAGGGTACTTTCCAGTTGATCTAGAAAAGCTTTAAAATTTATCAGCCATAGATACGCTTTAGAATAAGGTAGGTCACATAATTGATATTGACAATATTAAAATAAATTTGTCAAACGAAAATACAATTAGAAAGTTCAGATGAATTAAATGTTGATTTAAGAGGATAGTAACAAAAGTGAGGAGTTGTCTCATAAATGATTGTTAAAAAAGAGTTAGGTAACAATGTGAATAGTTTGATGAAAAAATAAGCATACAAACAAAAGTTAAGTCAAACCAGCGGAGATGTTACCATGAGAGTAGAAGTGGTTGAATAATTTTCTTTTGTATGCATAGTTCTGGTTCTTCCAATTGAATAATGGCTAAGGTTTCTGCGATGCAAAGAAGACGGAAACGTATTGTCTTTGGAAGGTTGTTCTTCACTTTGTAGGTAGATTACTTTGAAGGAGGCGTTTGTTGAAATGGAATGACCAGTGGTGACGAGATGTTCGACTATTGCACTCCTTTTACGGCCACTACTTCCTTTCTGCTGCCACGCTGGTTAGTGTTCTTTGACTGCAGAATGAGAGTAGTAATCGAAAATCTCATCACCACTGGTCATTCCATTTCAACAAACGCCTCCTTCTTCAAAGTATTCTACAAAGTGAGGAACAACCTTCCAAAGACAATACATTTCCGTCTTCTTTGCATCGCAGAAACCCTAGCCATTATTCAGTTGGAAGAACCAGAACTATGCATGCAAAAGAAAATTATTCAACCACTTCTACTCTCATGGTAACATCTCCGCTGGTTTGACTTAACTTTTGTTTGTTTGCTTATTTTTTCATCAAACTATTCACGTTATTACGTAGCTCTTCTTTAACAATCATTTATGAGACAACTCATCACTTTTGTTACTATCCTCTTATATCAACATCCAATTCATCTGAACTTACTAATATTAAAATAAACCAGAAAAATATCAGTAATCGCAAAGAATGTGTCTGATATCAATAGAAGCACTTAATATTATCATCATCAAATGGAATCCAAATTGTCTGATGAATAGGAGAATGATGGACTGAGAGCGAATTTGCCCTGGTTTGTTTTTCATTCATTGAGAAATACAAAAAGAACTTTTACAATAATTTAATATCGCATACCCAATGCTCAAATTTTTTTTGCAAACTGTTAAAAGTGAACTTTGCGTCGGTGGCATAGCGATTAGGACGCCCGCCGACCATGCACATGGTCCGGGGTTCGATCCCCGGCCACCGACGCACTCCTTTACCTCGCTAAGCCAGCCAGAAATAATTCTGGTAAAGAGGAAAGGTTGGGCATGAGGCTGGCTAGCGACCCCATCCTGTAAAATAAACACCACTGCTACAGAAACTTCAAGACAATAGCCTCGAGCTCTATGCTTTAAGAAAAAAGCACAAACAGTGAAGAAAATTTTCCCCTTTTCGACGATTCATTTTCATGAGCTGTACAATCGTAATTATAATTAAAACAAATTTTTTTTGACCAATCAGATGCTGGTAAACTTTGTCCTTGAAAATTGTATTCCATAATGTAAGGTGTAAGAAGGGATGACTAATTGTAAAAAAGAAAGGAGACAGAAGTTGGCATGACATAATAAGTGTGAGATAATGACTAATCAGTAAGCTCGTGTAGAATAGAGAGGTTCCTGTGGAAAGGCTATAAAGTGTTTTTGTATAAAATCTGTATGAAAAAGCCATGTTATTAATAAACAGTAATAGAGTGGTAGTAAAATGTGGATGGTGGGAATAATAATGATAATAAAAGTATTAAGAACAGTAATAATAATAAAAATAATAGTGAACTTACGTATTAAAAGAAAAGAGCAAAATTATAGTAAGAAATTTACTCTGGCCATGGTAGGGCAAGAGAATGTATGTGTCTTTTTTGTATGCACAGGTTCGGTTATAGGTCTCGAATAGCTAATGCCTCAGCTATGTACGCATGTCGTATCCGGAGTCCTTTTGTACAATATTGAGGGACTCTGTGTATCACTGTGAAGCATTCATGTGGGGGTGCTCGATGTCCGAAGATGACAAGGTGTTCGAGGATCGAGCTGTTGCTATTCTTCTTTTCTCCTCTGGCTAACCAAGCTGGGCAGTGTCCCAGGATACGTTTGTGGACTTGATGTTGCGTACGGCCGATATACTTTACTCCACACGAGCAAGTAAATGGATAAATACACATTGAGGTGGCCAAAAGTGGTATCTTGTCCTTAACGTTATACTGGATTAACTGTCTGCAGGAAAATGTTATACGTAGAGTGGCTGTTGGAAATGTCTTCTTCAGACTTTTTGAAAGGCGGTTTCTGAGAATTTCCGCTGCGATGTCACCTTTGAATTCTAAGCTCATGAAGAGAGTCTTCTTAGGAACCGTTGCGATGTCTGACACTGGAGGCTTCTCCTTCATGTTTTTTTGTCGAAGAATCTTGGTGGATAGTCATTCTCTAGTAGGGTTTCACGCAATAAATACCGTGTCTTCCGAGCAGCTTTTTCTAATCCTTGAGCACAATGTATGTACCAAGTTTCTCTTTCGGATCAGTGGAACAAACCTCTGGAAGTTGATAAACTGTCCAGTCCATGTTGGCTTGCGGTATATCGATCTATGGATCGTACAGTCGTGTCTTCCGGTGAGTAGTACATCGAGCAATGGAAATGAGTTGTTCGATTCATGTTCTAAGGTGAATCTTATTGATGGATGCGCTGTGTTGAAGGTTTTGAGGAGAGAATCTAAATCATATTTTTCATCACAGATTATAAACGTATCATCTACGTATCTATTGTATAAGTGCAGTTTACTTATCAAGGGATTAAGGATGTTTTTTTCAAGACTCGTCAAGGACAAAGTTTACCAGTATCTGATTGGTCAAAAATAAATTTCTGTGTTAATTATAATTACGATCGTACAGCAGCTCATGAAAATGAATCGTCGAAAAGGGGAAAATTTTCTTCACTGTTTGTGCCTTTTTCTTATGACTCAATATGGGAGTATTTCGCTCAGCTCTATGTTTCACTGGGGAACGTGAAGGAAAACAAAAGTGAACTTGCTTTAGACATATATATGTATACTCTTCAAAATACTTTTATACAAACAAACAAACAAGACGTGAAAAATTACAAATATGCGTATAAATATATAAATCAAGATGAGTTGATGAACAAGTTGACTAGTTTAAATTGTACACACTCACACACACACATTTATAAATGTCAGATAGTAAATTAAAAACAACAACATATAATCGACCGATCAGGCTTAATGGCATACTGTAATACAAATGGAGATGTGAATAGAAATACACCGATTTAAGACGTGCAAATATGTATGCAATCACACACTGAAAACGACAAATACTGGAAGCACAACTGACCTTTAACAATTACAATGTCTTAAAATCAATACAAAAAGAAAAGACAAAAAGAATTTGACACATAATTATCCTTTTCAATTCTCATTTGTTTTACTAGTCAACATTTGTACTGTAGCTGCAAAATGACGAGCCAAATTTAAAATATTCCCAACATCATGATTTTCAGCTCTTTCTGGAAAAATTTAGTGACAAAAAAACGAGAATATGAATGAAAGATGTAGAGTAATAATTTCAAAGAAAACAAGCGTATTACATTTACTTGATTTCACAAGTCAACTGTTTATTTCAATTTCACACATTGAATTTTAGATTTTCCTGTCGATTGACTGAACTGAAGTGCTCGGTCTCAGGTTGACATGCCGGCTTCTTGTGAAGATGCTTCAAGGATATCTGGGCATTTAGTAAGAATTTAACTAGTGGGTGGTGATTAGCAATGGATTCCAGGATGCGTATTTCGTCCTATTTTAGGCTCGTCAGCTAACTGGATGTATCTGCATTCCCCAGTCAGTCAGTGATAGTGCTTCCACCAAAGCTCGAACCCAGTGCCCATAGTTTCAAACTCCACGACTTTACCCCCCCCCCCCAGATCACTTCGTCCACGACAGCCACTGAGCACTTCTGTCCAATCAATTGACGGAAAAATCTAAAATTGAATTAAATAGTTAATATGACCCGTTGCACAAGAGATGGCTCTTGTTGCCCTTAGTGGTCCAGTAGGTAACAATTCGGCTTTTCAAACTATGGGCAGTAGGTTCGAGTTCTCTTGGGAACATCATGTCGCACTGTGGAATGCAGGTATATCCTGTTGACGAGTCCCAAATAGGCCGAAATGCGCTTTATCCTGGAATCCACTGCTAGTCATTATCCAGCAACTTCACACACTGATATTTGATAGATGATGACGACAGAAAGTCTTTGTGATGTAAGTTTCGTAGGTTTTGTTAGCACTCCGTCAGTGAAGCATTGAAAAATTCTAACATGCATTACCAAGTGTTGAAGTCAGAGTCTTTAACCACTGAGTTCTTTGAAGTAAACTGCTGACTTAAACTTATTGAATTCAGTTCTTAAACGTTTGAAGACAAAACACATGACATTGGCTACTTGTCACACACATCAACGTTGAATTTATATCTGATAGAACCCAGTATAAAATAGTATATCATTCTTTCTCACTAAGCTTGTAATTTATCGTGTGATGAAGTTACTATGCTAAGAATATATCATTTCTCACGCATATTGTGATTTAGTGTGTGTGTGTGTGTGTGATCAATTCGTCGTCTTTTGTCTCATCTTGATCATTGTCGGATCGTCAACCTATCAGAAAAGACAGATATATCCAGCCGAAAAGAACAGTCCATTCTCACGGTTGAGCCGACTTTAATTTTGGTAACGAAAATGTATAAATATATTATGTGTTGTTACCTAAGCTCTACTATACAGTATCTTACAATCACACAGGTCAACCTTTGTCTTTTAATATGTTGTGGTCCAATGAATCGTTAAGTATAACGAACAAATAGGCATATTAACGTGCCAGTCGAGTTCATTATACCGTTATAGTAATTAGACAGGCGCAGACATAACAAAGTAGCAATGGATTTATTCAGTTCAGTTCAGCTATATAACAATATCAGTGCTGGGCTAAATAATGAGTGAACATTAGTAAAATAAATTGCTGGGCAGATAAATAGTCAGTTGAATTGTTCAATATTAAGTGTGTTAAAATGTTCTTTTTTGTACATTTTCTCACGCTTTTCATACTTGTTATATGGACACTGAATTACCTTCTACTCTCATTCAATAACAATATTAACACCCTTATCGAATTTCTCACGTTTTCTTCGTTTGTGCTGTTAAGTAGTTACTCAATTTTCAATTTTACTTTCGAATCCACCTTCCGGATAATTTATATCAAATAGGTTACCCTTAATTCTGCCTATTACTCAATCAAATGATATAGTCCTTCTGGGGGTAAGACGCTGACAAGTTTCAAGAAGATAGACAAGTCTTCCTGTGATAATCATAGGGAATTGACTCGACCAGTGTGTTATCTAAAGATCTAGACTCAATAATAATGCGCAGACTAAGTTGTGCTCAGGAGGCACAAACACTAGAGAACCAGGCAGAAAGCTACATTAGATTCTGTCGACCGAAAGGTATTCTGCAGATGCTTGGCTGTAAAGGGAATGCCGAGAAAATACACTGCACTGATCAAGTCACTCTACTCGAACTCATGCAGCTAGTTGAGGGCTTATGGCGAGTTGTCATCTGAAGTGGTGACGACTAGTGTTGTCCGTCAGAGAGGGATGCCTATTTTCCCTATTTCTATTCAGTTACATCATAGATGTACTAATGGAATTGATCCTTAGCGACTTCTTTGACTCAGAGATTTACCTGTTACCAGGGGATAGTAGTCTCGTTGACTTAGAATATACAGATGATATAGTCCTTTTAGTTGAAGACGCTGACAAATTACAGAGTCTTCTGAACCCCTTGAGCTGCAATCTGTGAATGTTTTGGCATGCGATTCACTCCCGCCAAATGTAAGATGTTGCTACCGGACTAGGCTGGACTACATTGACTCCTAGCTTAGAAATAGGGAGTGAAGTGGTTAGCGGTGCGTGTTGACCACTTCACTTATTTGGGAAGTTGCATCAGTCAGCGCTAACGGGTGGATTGCTAGCAAAATCTCAGCACGGATACAGAAGGCTCGTTTCGCATATGCCAGTTTACGCCGTCTCTGGCTCAGTAGACGTGATATCCGGCTGGCTGTCGACTAATGGACGGGTGTACTGCTCATCAGTCCGCTCCGTCTTCTTCTATAGCTTTGAGACCTGGCCATTGAGAGTGGAAGGCATGAAAAGACTAGCTAGCTGTCTTTGATCATAGATGCCTGCGTTCTATCTCCCATGTGAAGTGGCATAATAGGGTGCGCAATATTAAGGTTAGACGTCGAGTCCAAAGTCCTATATTGAAACTAGTCAATCAGTCAGTCCTATTACTCATTGGTGGACTACTATACGTTGTTTAGTAAATATGAATGCAATTATACAGTCTCCGAAGATGATTTCATCGATAAAGGGAATTTTTTCTTCGTCAAATTGTCTTTTATTTTATTCAATAATTAAGGAATTCATCAAAACACTAAAAGTGAATACTGTTACACTCATTCTATGCATATACAATAACATCTTAATAGTACGGAATGGTTGAATAGTATCTTCTCTCTTCCATGGAGGATTTCATCATGAGCTGACATTAGTTAGAGAACTCTTTCTAAAACCTGGGAGTACTGGCCACCTGCCTCGTCCTCGTTTGGGACTCTTCATCAGTGCGCACCCACCGCCAGGGTTCGAACCCAGAACCTTCTGGTTGCAAGGAGAGCTCATAGACTGTCTATTGAGCCACTGAGACCCGATCCAATGGACCTTGGATTCTAACTTCTACCAATTCACGACATAGTGCGACCATTTCGCAATGTCTTCTTCGATGAGTTACTGCCTCGTCTTCAACCTGCTGTACCCTACTGGTCACGGCTTCCCACTAGAACCCTAGGTTAACAACTGTCTGAATAGGGCCAGTCGCTAGGGAGCATCAGATTAATTTACAAGTATTGGTTTTGTAGGGATTTTGTTTGATTGTATGGAGGATTTCATTATGAGCTGACATCAGTTAGAGAACCACTGGAAGACCTGGGAGTACTGGACTATCTGCACTAATCACTTGCCTGTAAATGTATTGGTGATTTGGAAATCTGCGATTTATCTGAAGCCTGTCTAATAGTGTAACAACAGAAGACAAGGGCTGGCAACAGATCGTTTTATTACGAAAATCAACACGTATTTATATATATTTTATATGCATTAATAAGGCTTATGCAAGCAGAAAAAGGCAGTCTTCTGATTGGTTGTTTCTCGGAAGTTAAGCAGACAAACACAGTCTTATGATTGGTTGTGTTCGATATTTCTCGGAAAGTAGAGCCATCTATCTGCGAATCATATTTGTCCACATTTAGTTTGCTGTGATTGGTTGTTGAAACAGCCTTGTTCACGGTCAATATTAGTGACCTAGACATTAACGTAGATTAGTGCCAACCAATCGGCTAGCAGCCTGCTCTCACCACACTCGTCCCCCCGTCAAATAGCTTTGTGCGCAGACGTTCCGACCTTCTGGGTGCTACATCCTCTAGTTGAGGATTGTTACTGACCGGCTTGTCCCACTGTACCCATCTTTGGAGCTGACTGGCGTTAACTCGTTTCTGTTTATCACCTCTTCGGATGGTATATACTTGACCCCGTCTTTTTGTGATTGTGTATGGTCCTTCCCACTTTGGAAGGAGTTTCCGTGAACCTAGCCCGCCTCCAACTGTATATCTCCTGTCTCTACACTTCACTTGGTCCCCGACTGCAAAGGTAATGCACTGCGTCCTTTCTTTCATCTGAGACTTCGTGACATCACTGCGCTGCTTCCGTATTACATTCTTGACTGCCTCTTTCCTCTCTGCTTTTAATTTCGTCGTACTCCACTTTTGGTGCATGGGCCAGGTCTCATTGTGTACCGGTAATCGTGGTTTTCTACCATACATCAGTTGGAAGGGTGACTTCTTCGTTGTTTCCTGAGTGGTAGCCCGATGTGTTAGTAAAATCAGTGGAAGCTCCGTTTCCCAGTTCCCGCCCTTCGAAGCCAGCCACTCCTTCAGTGTACGGTTGTTTCTCTCCGTTAGGCCATTCGTTTGTGGATGGTATGGGGTCGTTCTGATCCTCTTGATGCCCAGCTGTTGCAAACGGGAAGTAAACTCTTCACTCTCGAAACAGGGACCTTGGTCTGTCAGTATTGTCTTCGGTACGCCGTGGTCTGCAACAATGTGTCTAACTACTGCATCTGTCACGGTTCTTGCACGTTGGTCTGGGATTGCTACGGCGTCTACCCATCGTGTCGCGTGTTCCGTCATCACCAAGAGGTACTGATTACCATTGGATGTCTGAGGAAATGGACCCATGACATCTACGGACCACAAGTCACCTATCGCGGTAACTGGAATCGACTGAAGTGGTGGTCGTATATACCGGTCACCTTTCATCAGCTGGCACCGTGGACATCCAAGTACGTATCTTGCTACGTCTTCTCTCATACCTGGCCAGTACATACTTTGTCTTAGGAGGTCGGTCGTTC